AGCCTCATATATCCTACTTATTAAACTGAATATTTTTGCCTCATGGTTAGACAACACTCTCAAGAATAGTAGCTCCTGGCAACGGAAGGAATGTATTCTATTAATTCAAATTAACTCAACGCCTCATCAATAACAGGGATACTCTGACGCGGTGCACTGACGGCGCAGCGGACAGTGTGAATACGACCTCTTATCTGGCGTCTGTGTCGTCTAGACTCGACAGTAGATCTGTCAATTCCGTCTACTACGAGGCTCTGTATACTACAATTCTTCGCCAAATCCTCGGCCAGTTCCGCCTTCTACGAGACTCTGTCTACTGCAACCCTCTGTCAATTCCGTCCTCTACTATATTCTTTCTGCCACAACTACTCATCAAATCTTTCTACTGCAACCCTTTGTCACCAGCCCCTCTCTGTCAGTTTTGTCCAAGACTTGTTCTATAAAGCGTAGAGGCCAGACGTTCGTTGGGTCAGCGTACGTTGACTCGCCTGATTAGTCTTGTAATTCCGTTGATGCTTCCAGTGAATTTTGAGATTTATTAGTGTGCAAGGTTGTTAGTTACATATTAGAAGGCACCAAAAGGAAATCGTTCTTACGAGAGACAATACCGTGCGTTAGGTCAGTCGTTAAGAGGCAGTCCTACCGTGAGCAACCCATTTCTAGGCCTAGTTGACCTATTGCACCACTCTCTTGCTGTGCTTTGAGTCAACTTACACTTCCTATATTGGCGAGCTGCTACATTAGACCAAATGTATCGTAACAATAAATTGCTATTTCTGCTTCATGTTAATCGGTTGAAAAGTGATCATATTTAGAATCTGTTATTCAAGTGCGTGAGTGAGTAATCTCGGTCAGTATGAAAGTATTTATTTCCAATATATGGTTGCGGGTCACGAGAGTGAGTTGCCTCCGGGACCGTGTATCCCATGCAGGTATTTGCTTGGAAGGATCTTCGCTTGCTCCCAAGATCTGGGACGTGCTACGACCTTTGTCACCTATTGTGAACTGTTGGACTCGGTACTTAGCTTGTCTAGAGTCGTTTCAATCTTTCTAGCAATACTGTTGTTGTGATCGGCATACCGTATGATAATTGTTTGTTTAGTAGAATCTTTATTTATCTCTGTTATTCTGCACTTCTTTAATTTTCTAAGCCCATCTTTAATTTTATTTATTCTTAACGTATTTTTCTCAATTATTAGTTAGACTTAAGAACTGAAAAAATGGTTCTTTGGAGAACGACGCGTCCGTAGTTAGGGAGAATTTTCGATACGAGTTANTGAGTTATACGTCAAGTAAATGCTTGTATACATCGCTGAGTTATACGTCAAGTAAATGCTTGTATACATCGCTGAGTTATACGTCAAGTAAATGCTTGTATACATCGCTGAGTTATACGTCAAGTAAATGCTTGCATACATCGCTGAGTTATACGTCAAGTAAAAGCTTGTATACATCGCTGAGTTATACGTCAAGTAAATGTTTGTGCCCGACGCTACAGAAACTCCGGAAACTTAAATTTTATATTTGAACAACTCAAATTTTATGTAACTTGAAGCCCTTCCATTAAAAATAAGAAAGTTTAACTGTGAAAAATTTTAAGAAACTCAAAAAGCATTCAGGAAGCTTCGAGTTAAAACATATACTTCAAATTCATGGCATGAAGTTCAAAGTTACCCCATACACCACTGACACATAGGTAACTACATAAAAAATAATTTTTCGCAAATTTAAATTGCATGCGTACTAAGTTGCCCAATTATTTTCTCTCAGGACTTCGAGTTTAAAACGCCAACAGTGGCGTTAGTTATAGCATGAAATTATTATAAAAGCGCTCAATATACCATAGTTCCGCACCATTTTGGTAGTCAAATTAAAAGCGTTATCTTAAATTCAATGACATGCAAGTTAAAGCAAATCTATCCGTATCAATTTTAAGCGATGAAGTTTAAAATAAGGGCACTGTTGCCGTTCCACGCGCAAGCAACGCTGACGAGAAGGTTCAGAGGGAAGGCTGTTTCGTCAATTATTCTTACAGGGAATTTATGGAAGCGCCTCATGAATACGAGCGCTCATCGTCACGTGACTTATAGAGACAAGAACACGTGAATTCATCTGCATATTTGGACGACCGGAGGAGGGGGGTGGTGGGAAGGCCTTGTTAGAATTCACACGCTGCTTACAGGTGGCCGTGAGACGGCGATGCGCGTTGAATGAGCGGTCACTCAGGCTACATTTGGAATTTCGTAGAATACTTAATGGTTATAAAAAGCCCAGGATCAAGAAAAATCATAATGAGGTGGTAATATCATCGAAGTATTACCGGTGGCCACGGAACGGCCGATGTTCGGTAACTGGCGAATGATGGGAATATCGCAGCTGAATGTTGGTGGCTATATAGCACTTCAGATTGATGAGAGCGGCCGATAGTGGGGGAATTTTGCAGCCGAATTGTTGGTGGTGAGGCATTCGCGGGGACAGGTTTTGCTAGCGCTTGATTTGCTATGAAGGCAAATGCTTGAAACCATAGTACGGTACGCTCGCAGCCACAGCTTAAGCATGCTCAAGTTAAGCGTTGTCACGCTACATCTGGCCCAATCTACTATGGCCCCCTAACGAAAACGCGAAGGGCCAAGAAAACATGTAAATCGAATAATTGAAAATACAACAAATGTATTTAATAAGGAACAAAAAACTGGCACAAAAATATTGAAAACTGGAGATAGATTTTGGCCCCCGCTCGATCGAATGAGGTCCGTGTCGCACCCGTGCAGTCCGACGATCGGGAAGCTGAGGGAATACGACAGAGGTTTCACCTTTCGTTTCAATTATGGATTCAAAGTAATAGTTATAGTATTAGTCATATAGTAATAGTTATAGCTAATAGTAATAGTTAAAGCTAATAGTAATAGTTATAGTTATATAGTAATTGTTATAGTCATTGCGGATGGCAGGTACTTCCTGGATTTATCAGATAGCAGCACGCACCCCCCGGACAAGTCACACATCTCACCTGTGACCAAGTGCGCACGCCAATCCACGGGTCCCGTGCTCGTCCCGGTAGGGCGACAGTCGTCAGGCAGGATGACAGTCGTCAGGCAGGGCGACAGACGTCAGGCAGGGCGACAGACGTCAGGCAGGGCGACAGACGTCAGGCAGGGCGACAGACGTCAGGCAGGGCGACAGACGTCAGGCAGAGTGACAAACGTCAGGCAGGGCGACAAACGTCAGGCAGGGCGACAGACGTCAGGCAAGGCGACAGACGTCAGGCAAGGCGACTGGAAACCGCTGACGCTAGATCGTAGCAGCTCAGAAAATGCACGATTGAATTTACGTGGCAACGTTGGAACCAGGATGAAGGTCAAAGTTTCCCTAATACGTGAACAGGTTGCAGCTGAAAATTAGGTGAGACTATATGAAAATGTCACTCAAGCACATGATCAAGGTGCACAGTGCTGCTTCTGACTAACAACTTAACCTAAAAATCACTCCCTGTCGCTTATGACTATATATGCGTATCAAATCATATAGTTGAATACAGTCATATATTAAGTAGACTTGAGGCTAAAGTTTGCGACCGGAATAGTGGCCGGTCGCACCCGAATCTGCGAGACAAGTGGGATATTTCGGGTGGCGGCCTGAAAAGGGTCGCCTGGAGGTCAGATTCGACCCGCGGCCTGGTGGTGCACGGCTGGTGGTGGTCAAGGCCGGAGGAGGACAAAGCCGAGTGGTGCACGGCTGATTGGTGGATTTCCGGAGAGATCCAAGACGTTAGATTCAGGGCTTATTGTTGCACAAAATTGGTGGTGCACGGCTGCGCTCCCGCCTGAAAAAACGGCTTTTCTCGTCACGTACGGTCACGTCGTACTAGTATCGTTTAAGACACCCCCTCTCTTCTGGCCTAACCAATTCACGTTGAGATATTTCTCCACTCAAAGTAAACCTGAGTGGACCTAATCTAGCCTCATTGGCTACACAAAATAAGTTAGACGGAGAAAGTTTGCTGGTAGAACCAGACTTTGGCTCCAAGAAGGTTGCGAGTCGGTTCAGCATGAATACGTTGGGCCAGAAGAGGCTAGGCCGGAGTAGGTGAGGCCGGTTGCAAAACTGCATGCTTATGAGCGAGCACTCTCAGCCTCTCAGGTATTGGTTAAATACTTACGGCGGTATTGCCTTTAAGCAGTGTGGCACTGGTCTAGTTTACGGTGTTCCTGTGCATTCTGTGGCTTCTAGCTCCGAAGCTGAGTTAAACAATTGCGTGCTGATGAGTAACTGGTGTGGTTTGCGTGTTCCTGTGCAGTCTACTGCTTATCGCTCCGAAACTGAGTAGGTAAAGTCATTGCATGCTGGGAATAGGCATTCTATATGCGCTAGGTGGAGGTTCTTTTTTGGTCATTTTTGTGTCATACGGGTGAGCCCTTGTCGGTGGCCATTGCTTAAGTTTTAAAATTATCGCTTTCAAATACATCTTCAGGTATTGCCTTTAGATGATATAATCCCATGGCTGAACTGGTATAAGGTTGACCCATCAGAAGCCCATTTCTGTGGATTTAGTTCGTTGTTCGCCTGTGACGTCACTGATCTCAGTTACGTCACGGACATTAGACAATCACCGAAATACGATCCAAGCAGTCAACCAATCCGTCATGGGAAATGACGGGTTTGTTTAAGTTTCTCGATCTCAGTGACGTAACAAAAGAGCTGAACTAAAAGACGGAACTTCTCGTGGGTCAACCTTATATTATTCAACCATGATATAATCCTACCTCGATATTCTATTCTACACTCGAACTTCAAAATCATTATTGATCATTAAACAAATGCAAATATATATTTGAGTTTATTACAATATCACAGTCTTGCCTAAATTTAGATAAATCATTTAATAAAATGTATTTCAATTCCGGAAAATGGAACGGATTTGAATTAACACTTAAAGTCGAAGGATCATCCCGAAAAATGTGGACTTTTTCATATGGAAAACTATGGGAGTATTCGAAATAGACTTTTAAAAATCGGAGTAAAATTAATGAAATAGTTCATTTTAGGCTATACTCATTTTTGCGAGATTTTGTCTTTTTCTGGACATATGTTGTTTCGGCTTTTCAAAGTTAGTATTTTGTTGTAGTCACTAGACTCTTTATTGACAGTTGGCACTGCCCAGTGACGACGGTAATGATATGATAAGCGAGTAGCCATGGCCAACGGAGCTACTGAGTTTTCGTTGGACGCTGTTAGAGATTTTATGTTATGTCGTGGTGGACGAGTTACAAATCATGAACTGGTTCAACACTTCAAAAGTTTTCTCACCAATACTGATAACAAAGGTAAGTAAGCTAGGTACTATCTAAAAGTTCTAAGTCACTACAAAAACCTAAAATAGTTAAAGAACCAGTAGGTTTAGTCTTAACTTTTATGTTTTTTAACATTAACTATGAATTTGCAGTAACAAATCCAGCATTAATGGAGTATTGTCTTGACACATTTAATGATTTATTTACTTTAAACAGTTATTTGGTTGGTACTTGAATAACTTGATTGACCCAAACTTTGATTTCTCACTTAGGTATGTTTTGTATGAACTGTGAAGCACTGAAGCAGTGAGCATTACCTAGGTATTGAATCCTGGCTTGAATTTTAGTCTCTGACATCAAAATCATTAACTTGAAATCTTGAATCCTGACTGGAAGTTTGAGGTAATGAACACTTAACAGCCCAAACAGAAACAGGCATGCCATAATTAAAAATACTTACTGAATTACACACAAAACCAGTTAGGGTAAATGCACCATATTCCACATAGTGGCAAACCAGAGCTTTTTTAGAATCAGTTCATTTTTAATTTCCTCATTTGCTGAAGATTTTAACCAATTTCTTAAGTATGATAATGCTGGTATATCCATGATACTTTACTGGTCTACTAACAGGACTCAAAAATGAACTTGAGGGAGAGTCTAAAAAACTCTCTGCTTTGTCACTATGTTCCAACACTGGGAAATTCCAACTTTTTCCTTTATATTAAGCTTTGTCTTAGTTCCACGCATGCGTAGATGGTTGAAATAGCGACGTCATACTATTGCGCGCAATATTTCCGCAAAACACTAGGCCTGGCAGGAAAATGTTAAGATCTGCAGAGCAAAACTCCACGTCACCCAGTGAGAACATCGAAACACAAGTGAAAGTTGATAGTTGGCCTTGCTCTACCAAATAGTGATGAACTGTTTGTGTAGAAAGAATATTATGGTTTGATACTTTTAATTAGGTCTGTGAATATATAAGGAATCCTTTAAGTATACTTGTATTTGCTGATTTTAAGTGGTAAATAACATAATAGATGATTAATTTAAGAGATGGTTTTAGACACGTATAACTAATAGGGTAAACGCAGTATATTCCGTCACATTAAGGACGCATCGAAAAATGAAAAACTATAAAAAAATAACCGTACTGTAAAACAGGGTGGAATTCTAGAAATGGAGGTTCACTTATAAAAAAGCTTTCCACCCAAGGTGGAATGCTTTCCTTAGATACAGTGCTCTGCCAGGTGACTGACTATAAATGAAAAGGAGGATCAAAAGTGGACAAACTGTTTCAGTTGCATAGTACCTCAGATTTGTTATAAAATTATTTGAATGTCTCTTGTTTGATAGATATTCTCTATTTTTCTTTTATTTAATGTATTTTTTTGAAAATTTTCCAGGCTTTTTGTTTGTAATGATCAAGTTTAAGTTAAGTATTTAGTTAACCAGTACTGTAGTACATATACCATATTTGGGGGCGGGGCTTATGGGCACAACCAATCACAGCTGGAAAGCATCCCCATCAACCAATCACAGCTTGAAATCTGTCTCTTATACACATCTAGATGTGTATAAGAGACAGGGGTAGCATGCATCGTCTCTCTTTGGATCTCAATATTTTCCCACTAGATGGCCAAGACCTAGTGTTTTGGCATTAGTTCGACGCGCAAATGTATGACGTCATCATTTCAACCATCAACAAACGCATGGAACTAAAACAAAGCTTAATATAAAGGAAAAACTAGAGAGGTGACGGAATTACCCACGATGACGGAATATACTGCGTTTACCCTACCAACATAGCTTGGAATTAGACACACACAGCTTGTTCCAAGCTGTGTCGTATTCGGACACAGCTCACGCAGAGGGTCAGAATTCTGACACAGGGTGTCAGAATTTTAAATTACAATTTTCAAGCGCTGTTGGAATTAGTCTCACAATATGCAGCATTTAGTCACACACATGTCAGAATTCAGCAATTTTGTAGATTTGAATTCGAAAGGCTTTTAAATAAATATGGCAACAGTTTGTGACATTTCATCATTGCTGGTACATAGTGTGGTGTTTTGAGAGTGACATAAACCAATCCAAACTTGGGTTGCGCATACGGTGATCTATTTATAACCATTTATTTCTTGCTACGTCCTTAAGGTGTCGGAATATGGTGTGTTTACCCTACAGGTAATTCATTAGAGTTTTCCAAAATTCTCATGAAATTACTATGGCTTTACAATTTAATAAATGAATGAACAACATCTCGTATCTATCTAAAAATATTACTCTCTTTATTGCCTTAATCCTAAAGCTTAGAAAATAAATATTCAAAAATTGTTTTAATTTACTGCATCTGGTATAGCTACTCCTACACCAGTCACCAGCAGGCATGGAATATACCGTCAAATGGGGTAAAAGGGGAGGGTTTTGAGCGTTTTTTGTTGATAACTTCTTACCAAGAAACATTTTGCAAACAAGTTTAGGCTCATTTTATAGCTCTTTGCAAGGGCTATCGAATGGCATCTTCAAAAAATTTCCATATGCTATTTGTAAGGTGCTAGACGCAATATAAAAGGCTCCTGAATTTATCTGGAAACAGGGTAAAAAGGGACTCTTGAAACAAAACTCAATTTTAAACGTTTGAAGTGTGCAGAGTGTACCTACTCACCTATTACCAGCAGTACTCCAAAGTCCTCCTTTTCCTTTTAGATGTAGCGTAACAACGAGAAGCTCAACAAGCTTCTTTAGGGAGTGACCATTGCATTGAGTGACCTGGTTGTTAGGAGTTCTGCCTAACATCCAGGCTGTTCTTCTCCCCAATAACATTTTATTTAAATTTAAATTTTTGCTTAAATTTAAAATATAAGCAAAAATCTTTGTGATTAACCCTTATTTATCTTAACTGTGGCCTTTGCTATTAGAGGATCTGCTGTAAATGTGTTTTAGGGGTTGTCCCTAATTGCCGCAGGGGTTGTCCCTAATTACCCCTGGGGGGTGTCCCTTTTTACGCCGCCGCGCGGAAATGGCTGCCATTTTTTTTAATGAGATAGGCAAATTCTGTCAATTACGTTTTCAAGCTGACACCTGTGTAGAACTTTTATGTAAGTAAAATTTTTTAATACGATGAATATTTTTTTGGCCTGAATGGTTTGCTGCTGCACATAAGCAAATGTACATATACCAAATTGGAATGTAAATTTTGGGTATAAAATATATACCTATTCCTTTTGTACTATTTAGCTGATATTTTGGAACTAATTAACATACAAGGTTTGATTGATTTTTAAAGTATAAAATCTATGTATTATGACTATGGGATTCAGGATGCTTTCTAATCTACTCATGTAGATTAGAAAAAATATAACTTAGTACTTACTGCAGTGAGTGACAGAGAGCGCATTTTATTGTCGACGAAAACGTGGTCACGGTCGGACAGACAGACGGAGGGACATGATGAGCACAATATCGCCTTTTTTCCATAAAGGAGAAAATGTGCTAAAAATGCAGAAAAAAATCTCTACTTTACCAGAAATCCTTGCCCATTTCCCAGGTCTGATGGCAATATTGATAACCTACATCTTACGACAATAGGACTTCAACAGGGTTTATAGCTACTTATAAATAAACTAAGTCTAAAAAACTTGCAACAGTGACCATTTTGAGTCAAATTTTTGTTTCAATAAAATCTCTTTGATTTGATCAATTTGTTTATTTGCTTTTACATATCTTTATAAAAATAAATTTTAATTTTTATCAGAGATATTTTAGACAACACATTGTTTATGTTAAAAATTTGTTTGTATCTCATTTCTGATAGTATCATGTTTGCAAAGTTTTAGATCACAGAGCCATCCTTTATTTGGATAATTATATGGAACCACCTATGGAAATATACTGTACCTATATAATTTGCTGCTGAAAAATAGTATGCATCCAAATGCACTTAAGTGTTTACTGGCCACCTGCTGAAAAAGTAAGAAAACAATACTTACGAGATTAGTATCTATGCTTTGTGTTATATTAAGTGCAAGACAAAATTCTATAGGGTAAAAGTAAAATTCTTATAAATAAAGAGGAAAAGTAGCAGAACAATAATTGAAACTTTGCCATCATTGGAAACATGCATGTGAAAATATATTGTTTTTAGGTGAAATGCATAAATGAAATGTAAATTTTGATGGTCCAATTTTTCTTCAATGATAATTTGATAGAAGTTGTGGAAACGGTCATCTAGTCTTCGCCAAAATTGCTATTTATTCATTTATATATATAGGGTGATTCGTAGAAACTTCCTGATTCGAAAGCTTGATAGAAAAACAACTAGTAAAAATATCGTTATAATATAAATTTTATTGAAGAAAGCATTACCCGAATTTTTATAAGACTTAGTTTTGGAGATGACATCGGACAAATGACGGCCCCTCATTGTCATTGCATTAAGTTAATCGATCTTTATGTACTGTTTAACCATCAGAAGCATAATGACGGGTAGGTTGGTGATTAGTTTGCGTACCTATGTTGTTCTTCAAATGAAGTTGGGTCCTTGGACAATCATTGTGAACAATTGATAAAAATAACCCTATAAAAAATCACTCTGAGCCAAATCGGAACCCGATTAGGACTTGAGTCGATCGGGAACCCGCCTAAAGGACGAATACAGAATGGAGTACGGAAGGCTCTTTGAGTAGCAATAATGGAACGGCCAGTAGAAAATTACGCCTCGACAGCAAACGCACGCTGCTCATTTGTCCACTGCATAGTGGCAACTGACTAGGCGGGATGAAGAAATATAGCCAAATTCATTTTCACAAATTTAGTTAAAATCTTCGAATAGATTAATCGAGAATTGCATTTCCAATCATGGTTCTGCTACCTAATGAACTATAGGAAATAATATAAAGAATACCTAGTTGAAGAATGTTTGTACTTGAAATTGAGGGCGTTCACGAAGTTATTAATTTATCATAAGTATTCATGACATCTTAATTTGCATTTTGATCACATAGCCGATAACATGCATTTAAATAATGTTTAGAATATACCTACTGGCTGTCATTTAGCTTCCTCTTTAAACCCCTTGTGTGGATTTATCTTTTATTACTCGTGTAAAACATTTGTGTTGATTTAGCTTACATTTTCCTTGTGAATCTTTAATTCATATTATCAACAGAACTGGCGCGGGATCAATTCAAGCAATATGTGAACACCTTGTCTCACGTGGTGAAGGAAGAAAACAACAAGTATTTGGTCCTCAAGAAGAAATATTGTGTAGATGCGCCTTTGACCTCGTCAAACAACAGACCTTCTGACCCTCATGTCTTGCAGTCACCCGACAGCAATTTTATCCCTGCCCAGTACAGCCAGAATCATGCACCTCACAACGTGTCAATCCCCAACGAGTTTGCCGTCTCACCGCAAGCTGCTGCTAGCTCGGGCAGAGGCTACCTTTTTCATGACCGTGGACCCGAAATGCCGGGTGAGCAGATGTCGAAAATGACCGATTTCAACCAACGTTATGGTAGCCAACAATCTCAAGGAATCCAACAAAATGACGCAGCGTCACCCTACGGCCAGCAATTCCAGCGACGTGATTCAAATTCTTCTTTCGGAGGTGCCGTTCCTAATCAGGATTATTCTGCTCCTCCGTTACCCCCTCGCCAGATCGCCTCGCCCTACAATGGAGGAGCACCACCCGCGGCTCGACTTCGTACTCCTCCGCCGTACCGTCCGCCGCCCCCGCCTCCTGAATCCCCGAAAATCATGGATCCATCACTCATGCACAACCCGCACGGAAACCCGAACTTCGGTCCCTCGTACAACTCGCACGAGTACAACAGATTTCCGGCACCTGGGGCAATCGGGCACCCCAGTGGGTTGTCGCACCAGATTTCAGCGCACGAGTACCGCTCCCCGGATCCATATCCCAAAGAGCACCATCGAAGATCTTCCTACGAAGCTCACTCTGAACAGGACTTCAGAAACCACAACCGGAGCTCATCATTCGATGAGCCTCCTGATCTTGGCATACCGGTGCCCCAAAGCTTTCCTGCAAGTTCCCAGCACCAGCAGTCGAACCAAGGACTCATTCCCTTGTCAGCAACGAAAAGGACTGGTCCCAGACAAGCGCCCTCACATCCAGACGGGATTCTACAGTCCAGATCCAGGAAAAACAAGTATGATTCACCTCCATCTGACGCGTCTCAGGCGTCGTCCGATGATTCGTCTGAGTTGCGTGCTGCTGACAGAGGACGGTCTCACAATCAAGTCGACAGAAACAAGGAAAATTTCGAACCTCCGACTCATAGTATCGCTATGCAATCAAAACAGGTATGCTAATTTCAAAGACGGTACGTTACCGAAGTGTACGTTTTATATAAATTATTCATTCTGTATAGGTACCTATATTTATAGATATGTAGATGACACGAGTTGAAATCCGCGCATGCACATATTTTTCTTTATTATTACAGTTTCATTTACAAATACCTGAAAAGATTCATGCTAATTTTTCAGCTAATACCTGAAAAGATTCATGCTAATTTTTCAGCTTTCATTTCATGAATTCCTTTGTTCGCTTCTTTGCAATAATTCCTGTGTTCGCTTCTTTGCAATAATTCCTGTCGAATTCTTTTTTTGCTATGCGTTTGCAATGTATGCGTCCTCATGTTGCATTGCATATTCTCCATGGTTTCAACCATCGACCCATCAAGTTGTCAATCGGGAGAACCTTTGACAGCACTCGCTTTCTGCACGAGAAAGCATCCAGCACTTATTTATCGTAGATCGTGTTGTTTGTCTAATATCTAATTGCCTATCGTTTACTTTAAATGAAGGATATGCCGAACAATCCAGACGGAGATGCAGAGTCTCTCGCTCCGCCGACCACGGGAGGAAACGAGAAGAAAATCTCAGTAAAGGAGAAAACTCAGATCTTTAACAGGATGGCCTCGGAGACCAATCTGGGCGACAAGCTGCTCAAGAACGGCTCCAAGAGCAACCGCAGCTCTAGAGCGGAGAAAGTAAGTTCTTTTATTGGACATTTTAGAGTATCATGCCATTTTCTGTGCCAGGAAACTTTTCGTTTACGTTACCGCTGGTGTCGTGGTTTCAAAGTATGATTGCCGACTTAATAATTGGCTTGAATATCCTATACCTATATAATATTGTATGACATTCTTTTACCTCCATTCAACCTTCCCCGTTGGTCTTCACTGAAGCCTATCTATGTTTTAAACCCTTCTCTAAAAATAGCATTTTATTTACAATTTAATCCAAACACATATTCATAAATTGCATCAAATGAAACATGTTACGCCGCGTACCGCGTTTATGTATTTATCATGACAAATGACAAATGATCATCTGTCTCACTCTAAATTTCTGCTAGAATAATTCACTCGTGTAAACTATGTGTCATATATATACTCTAATCTCACTTGTCTCATCCTGTGTATAAGTATCGTCCTCTGGAACTCATATTAGTGATATTAAATTTTTTCTGTTTCAGGATTACGACGACACCAAATCCATCCTTAGTGTGAGTTTTGGTTTGATGGGAGGACTTCAGGATGGTTGTAAATATTTCGGGTTTGATTTCATAAGAAAATGTTCAATACTGCTGTGTAAGACTTGTTCCCAATTTATTTTTATGTTAGCACGTTTTGCGTAGCTAGTGTTCACGTTTTGCTGGTTTCAGCGAAGGAATTTCATTGTTTATCCTAGAGGATAAATGTTGATATAATTTGATGGAGAATGAGTACTTTATTTCCACTACCAATTCATTGCGAACTGAATAATGCTGAACTCAACTTTTCTCTCCTTTTATAAAGCCAATCAACTAAATTATAATTAGTAACTAAAATGTATAAATCCTGATAAATCATTACTGCTCTTCACAAGCGGTATTGAATGTTTGAGTGTTTGCGTCCCGGCCGCGCAGTACGGGCAGGACGGTCAGGACTGGCTGGTGGCAGCAGCGTCGAGCGACTTCAACGAGATATTGCGGCTCCTCAAGGCACATCCTGAGCTCATACGGCGCAAGGTGAGCAAGCTCTTCAATTTCATTATTAACTTATTCTTCTCATAAAATATCCCCGTCTGAATCTGTACTAAATTCTTTGCCATGTTAAACGTATTCTTCTAATTGAAAATAGCAATCTGAGTTTATACGTAATTCTCCCTTAAAAAACAAGTTCAAAATTAGGTTTGTAGGTACAATTGTACGCATAGACAATTCACTGACTTCGTATTCAGTATCAAAACATTGCTTTTCGATTGATCACACTCGAACTTATTTATTAGTTATTGTATATGTTCATTGCATGATTTACCAATTCATGATTACTATTAAGCGACTAAATCTCATGCTATTGTATCGGGGATCTTGTGCCTTCCGTCGAGCAGTGGTTGTGTACGTGTATACACAGCGTTATCAGTTGATCTCCGAGATATCGCTGTGAGACGCTTCCTATCCGTAGTTATTTATCGTAAGGTAACCGCTACTCGGTGATTTACAACTACCCTGCGTCATGCGCGATAACTTAGGATAAGATTTCAAAGATGTTATTTTCTTAACACTTTGACTCCGATTGTTTCATCTTGTACTATTATTTCATTTTTTTGTACTGTTTTTAAACAGGGTTGCCAGACGGTCATTTTTTCCGGACAAATTCCGTGATTTAGTTTTTCTCAATTGCGTTGGCCGGCTCAAATTTATGATAGGGGTACTTCCTAATTAAATTTCAAATACTGCAAAAATAAAATAAATGGAATTTTTATAGCGGAACCTTTAAATAAACTATTATATATTGAGTTATTGGCCTTTTCTGTTCTCGGATTTGGCCGATTTTAAGCAACCTGAATTATGTACCACTATGTCCTCGAGAAATACATTTTGTGGTACGCATATGTACCACTTCGGAGTCAACGTGTTAAATTCTTCCATGTTGGTAAAATGCATTCGACCAGATTTTCGATGCGAAAATTTTGTCTGTTGTAATTTCGGAAATGTCCTGGACCATTCAGACATCGTCTACTGTTTTTTCAACAGTTCTGTGTTGCAACTCATTAAGGAAAACAACCCGTTTTTTGAAACCTGAAATACGTCGTTTGAACAAAAAAATTCTCGGTAGTGTCAGGAACAGAAATTTTTTTGCATATAGATATCCTGGTCTGGATATTCGCAAAGCAATGAAAAATGTAATTGCTCTTATGTGCAACCTTAATATTTTTTATAGTTTGCTGATGCTCGTGTATTGCACGAAAAATTTTGTCATGAAGAACTGATACAGCTTTATTTTATCACATCTTGTGCACGGTCTCAATTTGTATGCGATGAACACTGTAAACGGTACAAAGCAGAGCCAACTGAGACGGTTGTTATTGAAGTATCTCGATGTCGAGCAGTTTGGCTAATGATCGTGCTGCAGCAAGTTTCTCGGACTGCTACAAAGTTTAGTCATTGGTCCAATGCAATGATCTTCATGCGGACTACCTAGACCCACGATCTGAGTTAGTAATCCAACAACTGCAATTCATATTGAGTCGCGATTTAAATAAATTTATCGAAAACTTCCCTGAAAGTTCACTTTCGTCATGAGCAGGAAATCAAAGTTTGACGCCATTACCTCGAAGCCTGCAATTCGCTGTAAATATTTCGTGTCCCAACCTGCGTTCTATCCTGTGCACTGGTATTGCTCATATAATTTATTGGATGAATTTTTTTGTTGTACTCAAATTTCATAGAACTTTTCTATTTGTTATTCAGGGAATAGAATTTTTCCAGCTTCCATTTAAGCGCATTTTCTCATATAGGAAAAAAAGGCGCTATTGTGCTCGTAATGTCCGTCCGTCCGTCCGTGACTTCACGTCACGCTATTGTGCTCGTTCACGAGAAAATGCGCTCTCTGTCACTCACTGCAGTGAGTACTGATCTAATTTTTTAGCTTATGTTTCATAATGATTCTGAACAAAATATTTTCCTAATGCATGTGTATGCACGAAGCGAATAAAATAAAATTTTGATTCACCTGCCTTATATATGTGAATTTATTACAATCTGAAAGTCGGTTGCAGTCATTATATAACTCGGCCCCAATTATTATTTGTTTTCTTTTTGGAAAAATATCGTGAAATTCCAAGGTTGCTGGACGAGCTAAAACTTGACCACAAATTACCCGACTCTACGTCATGTTACTCAAACAGTCGTGTTTGAGTGCACACCTGGGGAAACCCGGCGCCTGGTAAGATCAAAGCTAACATTTTGGTCTGCTAGTCTTGTCTCGATTTATAAGGCTCCCAGGGTCAAATTCTTAGCGAATAAGAGCGGCCTTGTCTTAAACTGGACAGAAATATTTCTCGCGCCTTCTAAAGCTGCATTAAAAACAGCGCTAATGTCCATGATGATTTTCGCTAAGATTCGTGTTGTTCGCCGGATTTATGCAGGCTCCATCTTAATTAAAGAATTTTTTATCTGTCCGCTTAATGTAGGTATTACTTTTTTAATAAATCGTGAAAAATTAGGAAATCGACTCGCTTATAATGCTGTCAAACCCACAGTTACATCGATCGTTTAACAACGGCTCAGTTTTGTACTGAAAAATTCACTCCGGTTCCTCCGGTGGTCAACATTTAAAATAAGCATAGCTAACTGTGCTTAATTATTTATGTGAAGCGGCTAAATGTCTGTATTATACACACAAATTCACTAACTAAAATATCGCAACTCCTAAGAATGTTGTATTAAAGTTCCATTGGCATTTTTTAACTACGCTGAACGACCCATTTCGGTCAAAGAATTTAGCCTTTGACCTTAGGACAGCAGTGTGGCCCCACTTGGGAGGTTATGCGCCGAGTAAAACTACCAAGAGAACATTTAGAGTACTTAACCCTTTGGATGGTGCGACGCATGCAGTGCGCGCGGCCGCTGCTGCATGAGAGCTGTTGAGGGAGAGAGAGATCCTGCCCCTCCCTCGCGTGTGCAGTGCTGAGGGCCCCTGAGGGCTAATTAGCCTCGTGTGGCTCATTCCGTAACGAGCCATCTACCACAGCTTTGCACACGCCATCCCTAAAGACCATCACATGCGCAAAATCGTTTGCTACCCAACAGGCTGGGGCTGGGAATTCTTGAGGCATCAACCGCCTATCAAATCAGCGGTTCTCCGAGGACTGGTTTACCCGACTTACGCGGCATAAATAAATGACTGATAAGTAAACCTTATTGAGGCGTTTAATAAGCAGTGAAAATTCAACTCTATATTTTTATTTTTTAATGTTATCACTGTTATGCGAGTGTAGTAATTTTTTTTCTTAAATTTTATGTATGAATTTGTCAACAACGCAAATTTGATGAAAATTCGCTACCTCTTTTACTCTTACCCGAGAGGAGATAACTCTTTTTTAATCTGGATTATCGAATTTGTATCATTATTTTATTTCCCTGGTTTAGAGCAGAAATAATTTCAATTATGGCCTAGTGCTTCCCAGGCCTTCAATTATAAGTGATGCAAGTCTTGTTATAACGCGCGAGTTAACCCTCGTGTTGGCGGTAGGGAAAATGTACTGCACCCCGGCGGCTCTTGCGGCATTGATCATCGACGAAGACTTTGCCGCGGGCCATTTGAGTCGTGTACATCTCTGAGTTGCTTAGGAGGGTGAAGCAATGTTTCCTATTTCCTGCTGCCTGGTCCCTCAGCACCATGGCGCCTGCTCCGGGACTTCAATTTGGCTCTAGTATGAAGTACGTAACTTGTACATCATGTTTTGTTTATAATAAATATACACAATAACAAGCATTGTCAACAAATAATTATAACATATTCCTCTTGCAAAGCAATTGATAAATTTTGAATCGGGTGATTTTTCATCCTGCGTTTCGGGTGCTTAGAATCTACTGGAAGACCTCAGTCGCGTACGAACACCATTATCAACATTTATTTGAATAATTATCAGTTATAATCATACGCTGTTTTGAGTTGTTGATCTCAATCTCCTGTAAGTATTTCTGATAATTTGAACAGAAATGGCATTTTGAAACGCGAAAATGTTTTCAATTGAATAAATTTTGTCAAAATTGCGCGTTGAATTAAGGAAGCTTTTGAAAACGTTGACTTTCCGTTTAGTTTTTCACAATTTTTTTTTTCTAACTGCCAAGCAGCCGCATCCTCTCCTAAACGTTCTCTGAGATTGTTAACGTCTCGCTTGATTGCGATGCGCGTACGAGTGTTGTATAATACACATGTTTAGGTCTCTCTATATCACATTACTTGTTAACCCGAACCCTCGTTCACATTTACGACGAGGGTGCGGGGTACCGGAGCGCGAATGTTGTGACACTTGGCTAAATCATTGGGACTATTTCCTCAACTAAGTCGTTTTCTCTATTTGTTCTTCCTAAATCACTGGCCTGGTTACGAAGCAGTCAATGAGACTCTGGGTCTCGTATTGCTCGTCGCGTTCGATTGCCTGCCCCAGCGCGGCGTGTCCTTAACTTGACACCGAACTCTGAGATACTTGGGGTAAACTTCCACGGATGTTGGAGTCTCTTCGATAAATATTGTCATTATAAGTGATGAGTTGTCATTATAATGTTGCTAATGATTTACTAGCCTTCACACATATTAACAATTGAACACAAATACCAAGCTTGCTGTGATTTCCTTGAAATATCTTTTTTCTGGGAATTTGATCTTGTTCAGATTTTGGTCGTATCCGCCTTGATAGCCTTATATTTTAATGAAGATTGAATATCTTGTGTGTCGCAAGCTAACGCCTACCTTTTCATGTAACCTTTTTTTATGAAATATTCCGGCCTGAGTTTTGTATAAATCTTAATATTCCATTCTCTAAACCTAAGAGAATCACGTACCCAATTGATGTTCGTTTCTTGCCCCGTTGGTCGCGTTGAGGCCAAAATATGCATCGTATCCGAGGCAGCTGACATCACATCGGTCGTACGAGTTTTAGGCTTGCGAATATTTAGATCTAATCCAACATGTGTGCGATTTCTCGACGTAATAAACTGAGCTTAGTTTAATTGCTTTATTTAGGTTGCTACGGATGTAATTTTTGTGCACGTGTGGGTATTTATTATTATTTCGGTCTCAATTATTCGACTTCTTCCTAAAAGTGCTCAGTGAACGAAACTGACGCCCGGAGGGAAGAGTTGGGATCCTCATTACAGTTGCATGCATGAGCTTCGGAGATGATTTCTACGTCGCGGTCAAACATAGTAGAGAAGCAGGCGGCTGTTTTAGATATCTAGCACGATAAGCGCTGCGATAGCTCTTCCTTGAGCGTGACATGTTTTCTCCGCTCCTTCTGTTGTTGCATTGTGATAATACTGTTGATTTTTGGCGCCCGACAATGCCGTTTGCTGCCACTGGCTCATCATCGCTCTACTCGGCGCTGACATCTCTTGTTTAGCTCACGTATCATATATACGATGCGCCAGCCTCTTGCCTGCCTTCCTGAGTATCTCTGTATTGGTTGGACACGTACGGTCTTCAGTACTTATTGCTTTAGCCTGCCGGACTTCTGATTATTTTCAACATATTGGGGTTAATTTTTTAAATTTTAGTTTAGAGTTTCAATTTTCTCTAGGCTCTTTATAGAGATTCAAAGCAGTTCTTCGTTTTAAAGTTGACTTCGGTGTTTTCTCTTTACCGCTTATGATCATATTCAGTGGATATATGACAAGATTAGATGAATTACTTTATCAGGAAAGGACACGTACGATTCAATTTTTTTAATAAGTTTCGTCGTCATATCTTTCTGCTTTATTGTCATTCTTTGGCAATATTACCTGCAGTCATGTTCGTCAATTAATGTAAGATTTCTGAATGTAACTAACTTAGTACATAAAAATTTTGAAAATTTAATGCAGCTATACGCGCTGATAACATGAATTGCCTTGTACTTAGTGTTCTCATATTTCTTCATCTTTGACGCATATGGTCTTGCTTATGACAGATTTGAATAAAATTTTTATCTTCCACAAGATATCTAGACGTCAGATACGGTGGGTAAATACAGCAGATATCCGATGAGTGAAGATATCGCTATAGCTAGCATTGTTATTGAGCTGCTGGTCAGAGCTGGAACATATGAGCGACCAGGTGACATGGCTTGGACGATGTCAGGGAGGCTTGGGAGCGCTGTTCCTTCCTCAGGTCGCTTGTCGCCGGCATTTTCTGCCACGGATTGGTGTCGGCCACGATGAAGTTTTTTGCGTCATTCAGAAGGCCGTGCAGCGTGTAAGTGGCATTTTTGAGCGACACCTTCAGCGATCTAAATGCATTCGTGATGAGGGGACCGTGTTGATCACGCCTCGGCTTCTTCGGCACAATTGTAAATAAAATGTAAATAATGTTCTGCTGATCTGGTGCTGTGCACTGGTCAGCGATTTGCATTCTAAAAATGTCTAAACACAAGTGAGGCGCTAACTGCACCTTGTTCATAGCTTGTTACGGCTTACTGAAATGCGTTAGCTCAGAACTGCCCATAACATATAGTGAAATGAAACAAATTTTTGTCATACAGCGAAATGAAACAGTTATTTGTTAATGTAAACATTAGTGATGTTTTTGACCCAAATATCGTCTAAAATCTGGAATCCTGATACATGGTTCATCAGAACAGTTATGGTCTCTGAAATTGTCCACTGTTGTTTTCTTCATGTATTTCACATTCAAAACATTTTATTGCCATTGAAAATAAAATAAGTGTTTTACTTTAAGTCCGCGGGATTAAAACACACCATTCAATTGATATCTGGACTGACGAAGTGACAAATTACTTGCTGCTTTACCCCTGCTGAAAATGGTGAGCGAAGCCATGACGGGCGGACGTCTGGCTCCCTGTAACCTGTCCCTGCTTTTCAATGGTGACGATGTTCTGCTTGGATGTAGGATGAGAATTGAGACAGGCAGCTGGAGCAACAATGAAGACGCGTTTCTTGAAGGTCCAGCGAGGCAGCATTTGTTGCTACCCTGCGTCGTCCAGCGAAGTAGCTTGTCGTGTACCGACGGCCTTCTTGACGCTCACGCCTCTCCCGACACTGCACTCGAACCATTATAGCTGTCCGTGCTTCTCATGCACTCACATATAGACGTGTTCTTCTTTCATTGCTGTAACTAAATGGTCTCTACAAACTACTTTATAATATTCTGGGAAATTGTTTTCCAGTTAATGTTTTTTTCAGTCAATGTTTTTTTTTTCAGTTGATGTTTTTGTATTTATTGTATACGTTTTGTATACAATACGTATTCATCTTATAACGTGGACACAAATAACACAACGTTGTTTCCTTGAACGTGAAATTCGAAAACAAATAAAAGTAAAATAAAGTCACTCTTCTAGTATCTTGATTCCTGAAGTTATTTATACATGGGAGTTGTGCTATGACTGGTAATTTCCAATGCACAATTATATTAATGTTCAAAATTATTGTATCTATAACTACATGTTTGCATATCGTTTGGTTTAAAATTAATGAATCTTTATTTTCTTTTTCACATGGTTGGTTGGTTTCTGCAGGACCGGCATAACGTGAGTAAATTATCTTTATTATTAACATTAGACACCTGCTTTATAAAAATAGTGAGGCTACGCGCTTTTTTCATTAAATTGCGAATAAATTAATCGTTTTCAAGTTTTCAAATAATCGTGATAGGTCAATATTTAAATTCTTTAGAAATTACAAATTCTATTGAACGAACTTAGACTGGATGAAATTGTAAAGGCCTCGCAATTGCACGTATCATTGGCACTGTTCCACTCATGCACGTATTTGATAAGATCTCAGTGGCGCGAGCAAAGAGAATTGGAGTTCTGGTGCCTGTGGTCATGGCAATCTCATGACGAGTTATCTGCCTTGTAATCCTGTGAGACCTCATGCTACCTTTCATTTCGACGGCATTTATAATTGAAGATTCAATCTTAATTACATCTCTGTGAAGGCTTATGAGCACACAAGCTTCTAATACGAGCTTAGCCTTTGTTTAAAGGTGCCTCGAAATCGCACAGTCATTAGAGTCTATCAATTGGCACAGACTCCCGTGGTGCTTGTGCCCATAAAAACTGGTGAATACTAAATGGTTCTCGTCGATAATGATGCCTCTGTGCATACAGAAGCTGGTTTGTGAAGTGAAACCTATGAATTGAGCACTGTTCTTCTGGTAGATGAAGCATAAGAACTTTCGCAACTTTGCCTGTAGTAAATATTGCGCTGGGCAAAGATGCTCGAGTTCAATACCACCTGTCTAATGACGCCCCATCTCTAAATTAATCATTTAGCCTTCAAGTCAGCATTTTAATAATGAATAGAATTAATAAGTAATAGTTTTTCATGTGTCGAGATTATTATTATTTTGCACTTCAGTGCCAAAGTTTTACGAAGTCCTTCCAGGTCCTTCTAAAAGTGTAAGAAAGAAGGAGCTCAAATTTATGCTAGATCTTTTTTTCAGCATATTCAGGAATTTCGCTTACAATTCAATATATATTCACTCAGTTTCATCAATAATTTTTCCTTGACATGCCTGAGACTGTTCTTGCAGTTGTCGGAGGTAATTTTTATATTTATGAGTTATTAGAAGACGTGACGTTTAATTTATTCCTCTCTTATCTATGGATGCTGCTGTTCTCCATCGACGGCGATGCGCTGTGCGTGGGCTGGTCTTACGCTACTTCAGGGCGTAAGTATTTTATACTGTACGATATGTTTAAATTAATTGTGATACATCATTGCTAGGATGGTATGAATTATTCATCATGAATCATTACATGGCAAATATCAATGCTCGAAATTTATTATCAAATGAATTGGAGGAGTTTATTAAATGTATTCTTAATTGATAATATCAATTCTTAATTGAAATTTTACATTAATTGCGTCGCATTTTCTTGAAGCAAATTTTTACCTAAAAGATATTAATTTAGATATCAACTACTTTAAATAAATCATTGCTTGAACGCTGTATATTTCGTAGCATTTTTATTATTTGGTTGACTTGACACCATCGAAGAGATATGTTATAGATATTTTTGTTATAGCATTTTGATTATGCATTAATCGAAGTGTATATTTGCCTAACCATTCCTATTGTGTTGACATCTTGTATTTATATTTGTAAAACTATGCGTGAATGTGTTGATTTATGTTGAATTTGCCCATCTGCAATTTGAACCCGCAACAAAAGCATGGCACACTACAACTCTCGATCACGTCCGTAATCTCATTCATCTATTTAGTTTTCCATGTAATTATAGAAATCAAACAATAACTTCCCGTCAATCACCGATGATTTTACAGTCCTATATCATCATACCAACATCGTGTTGAGGTTTCCTTAATAACAGCGACCCCTGATAGATTACAATAGAGCAGCCAAATTGAATAGCGTTGACGTGCCTCAGCTGCTGCCCTCCTCATTTGCATGAGGTTCATTCCCCGTGAGTGCTGCACTAGAGATGCCTCCATGGCACCAGGAGTGGACTGTTATTGCTCCTCCATTCATCATACTCCATTTACACGAGGCGTTAGTTTGCACTAAACATGGCTAATAATTTCCGCTCGCTGCAATCCGGAATCATTAATGAAGTGACTCCGATTCAATTACCAAATGCATTTTCAATTAATACATGCAATTGAAAGTTTTATAGTCAGTTTTAAATGTTCAATGTTGATTTCGATAACATCTGACTTGGAAATATCAAGCGACTTGTCATAAATTGGATCGCTATGTGCGAGGCGGCTTTCGCACGCGTTACTTCTACTACTGCAAAGATTAAGTATACCTTGAGCGAAAAAAAAATTTAAAAAAATATCAAATGTTTAGTTGCATTTGCGATGAATAATGAATTTTATTCATTATTCGTGTCGGTTGAAAAAATTTCGGTCGGTAAAAGATTTCCGCAATGCTGCAAGTGACACAATGCAGGAGAAAGAGTAAGACTGGCTACTGTATGTACTGCCTGGTGCAGAGATATATTTGTGTGATGGGTGCGTGGGAAGCAGCACATGCTGCTATAGAGAGCAGCACCACGCAACAGCAGCAAGGGTAAGAAGAGCAGCTACTGGCTGTCACGGGTTCCCTGCAAAATGCACCAGCAACATGTTCCAATTAAGACGAGAGGGAGCCGCGCACCGCTGCCTGCCTTCCTACCCTGAGCTGCGTGCTGCTCGCTCTCCTGCTTCACTCTCACCATGTTATTACTGACCGTTCTATGCATGCTGCTCACTTCACTGCTCACCAAATAAAGCAGTCATTTGTCAGTTAAAACATTACAGCTACTGTTACTTTTACTAGTTTTGCTATCGATTCTTGTATTTCTTTGTTTATAGTTAATTTGGCTATTGTATTGTTTGTAACCGATTGCATATCGGCCTCAGTTGATATTTTCGGAATTGCTGCTCGATTATTTCTAGCTTGTGTGCGATGAAGTTTGATTGTATAATTAATTACACACATTCGATTGCTTTCATCCGAATTTCAATCTATCATAACGTAAATGTCTGTGTCAACTCTTTATGAATCTATCACTTTTTCGATTAAGGATTCGTATTAATCACAATTCTAGGAATAACTAACACTCCTGAGTATCACATCTCGACGAACGAGTCGCATTTCGACCAAATCACGGTTTATATTAATATTTAGACAATTTTCTTGCTTGCAAGGTCTTTGTGAACAGTAACAAAAATGTTGATGCCAAATTACTGCCACGCAATCCTTATCTCCGCGTGCGACGTAGAAGAACCGTGTTATCAAGCCTTCCCCAATGTCAAACCTAACCCAGATATCGGTATATATTGCGCCTGGAACCTTTTTGAATCCTTATCAGGGCGCCTGTGTAAGTGGGTCTCAGCTATGAATTTCTGTGTAATATTGATTGCACTGACGGGGTGGCGATAATTCAGGTTATGCATCTCGGTAACATATTTCTTTAAACGGTAACAATCGTTTTTTTTTTATTCTATAAAATGTTACCCATAAAATTAACCCATTTTTTTGTTCTCCACATGTGCTGTGTAATGCTGCTGTTCACCGCGCAGTACGTGAGTAAACGATCCACACGAAAGGAGAAGTTATTGACAGCTTTACCTTAAAATAATCTGTGTAGGGAGCTTATGCATTTTTCCAAGTAGCAATATTTGTAACGATACAAAAGGATAAAACCGTTGCTGGATGATTCATATCAAAATCCCGTAAGTTTAAAGCCAATTTTATTTATTTTTCGTCATTCAACCCTTAATTTTTTTCCACACGTTGCATCGTATGAAGTTCGAAGTACGATTCCCTATTTGTTTTTAGTGCTGCTTTTCGGAGGAACGTGTAATTTGATCATTGTTTATGCTGCTCGACTACACGTAATTACAGGCTATATGGAGATATGGTTTGCGAGTTTAGCTTTCATTTTCCGTCACTCAAGGCTTTGAACAGTTCAATTAGACACATTTATCGCCTTCTCAGCTGAGCGTGAGGGCCGATCTTCTGTCTCGCTTTATGTTCTCCCAAGAACGCCTCCCCATTTTTCCGCTCGTCTTTGTGGAGGCCGTGAAGTTAGATGACTTAGGCATGTGTGTTTACGGGGATGCTTCTTTTGTATGAACAGATTGCTCTCAAATGAGCAGGTTAACCTCGTTTAGTCCAAAGATCTCCATCACTTGCAGCCTTGATGACAGACTACAGGTCTCGTTAAATTTCCCTTCTCACGTCGTGGCTTGCGCTTCTTTTACGATCCTATTCTGATCGTCGTACGATCCGAGCTTGCTATGTAGACTCCAACATATGATATTCGACAACCCAGCGCTTGGAAAGTTTTTGAATCTGTTTTGAGCTTGCTTAGGTTTACAACGTTGCATTTACTTGATTCCAATGAGATCACGTTCATTGTTACGTTAAGCAATTTTTAAATAGGCCGTGTTTACGGTGAACGCAGTTTCCAGCGAATCTCGTACCAACGCTCAAGACTCAAATAATCGCAATACATTACTCGAGGAAATCACTCGCGTAAGCAAGCGGCAAATAAATCATGGTTGCATTCAATGGCGTTGTCATTATTACGATGCCTAATGACCCCTTGTGAATAAAACCTAGGCAGCAGCACGCAGGTATCTCGCCCATGATTCGGGAAGATCTTGGAACCTCGTGCCGGAACAAAAGAAAACAATCAAGTCGTCCTCACGTCTGCTCATTTGCATAATACTGACCCACTCCTAATTAGCCTCACAGACCTTGTGATTAGTTTGCTTCCGTTAAATTGAGTTCGGGTTATATGGTCGTCTGTTCTTTTGTTATGTGCAGCCTATTGGGGCTGGAACGATTAGTGCGTTTTTTATTAGAAATACCTGCGAGTTACAGCTACGAACAACTCTTTATAAGCTGCGTGATTTAGTTTATGAGTTACGGCTACGAACAACTCTTTATAAGCTGCGTGATTTAATTTATGAGTTACAGCTACGAACAACGCTTCATAAGCTGCGTGATTTAGTTTACGATAGTTTTGTTTAAACGACCACACATTTGATTGGTCCAATTTCTAATGAGATAATCGTAATGTATAGAAATTTTCTCTCTATTTTGCTACAGGATTTAAAAATTTCCACTGAATTTACATTAAGCCAAAAAATAGTACGACGAAGTCATATTATCTAGCCAAATTCGAACATGCAGATTATAATTAGTTTCAAGATTTTACACGCAGCGTAGTTCGCTTAGTATGGCCCATGTTAGACAATTAATGACGGCATGCAAGATTTCCTGGGGAATTGGTAGGGAGGAAAAGAACCTAATTTTATATAAATATGTAACAAGTTGTGATTCTCTTCTTCTGGTAATAATTCGGAACAGCTTTCATTATGAGGTCAGTATATATATTATTAACTTGTGAATGTTTACGGTGCTGTACAGACGGCGCTGCACTGGGCAGCAAAGCACGGGCGTGCAGAGGTGGTCCGTCTTCTAGCCGGCACCTACCAAGCGGACCCCAACGCGCGCAGCGTGAGTTCCGGCACTGCTTCCTCTCGGCGCCCAGTGATTGTTTTATACGTAGCGCATAATCACCTCATGTTAGAAATAAATTTAGCGGTGTTTTTTTATGTGTATTATGTATAGATCACGAAAGAGCTTTGAACTGAATAAATGCAATATAAATGGAATTGAGGTTGCAAGACAGAAATTTCTTAGTTAAATGCTACCAAAACTGTGTAATCGTATTAAATGTTGAAAGGGTCGGGTTACACTTGAAGTTTCAAGTTTCTTTTTGTAATAGAATAGAATTCGATCAAATCATTTGATTCTTCTATCTCGCATATTGCTTATAACAGCCAAGCAAGGCGCTTTTTTTCTCTGCAGCCCAACGTCTAATTTGGTTATTATTCCTAGTATTCTGACGGTGTTACATTAAACTTACATTGTAATGTAACTCAGCGATAAGCGCGAATACTAATAGCGTCGCATGAAATTTTTAAAGCGAAATTTGTTTTTAAAATTGAGAATAAATTCACGTAATTTATGTTGGCGTTTGCTAAACGTCACTTAGTGATTGAATAATCTGACTAAAACGCAACTATCAAACAATTAATGTTTTGGATATTGGTTTAAAGTTCACTCTCAATATTTCATGATTTTGTTTCTAATAACGGTTTCCTTTTTTCCTGGCTGGTGACTATTGACTGCCGTTGCTGTGAACTTCCGCCGTTATCTGCTTCTCCTGTTATTCGTGCAGAATGGGGTGCGTAAATCTCTACATTTTTAGTGTGTTCATTGCCGGTTTAGGGTAAGATCGCACTGCAAGGATAGAAACAAAATCCCGTATTACTGCAAGAAAATTAATTATCTATGCTTGTATTTCTGACAGACTTTTGGAATTTATATTTATTACGAGCTAAAATTGATTTCTTTTTGTCTACAAAATGTACGATTGCAATGCGCATCAAAATATTACCTTATAACGAGAACCATTGTTATTGGTGTTGTTTGTGTGCATTAAAGCGTGAAACCGTATTTGTTAATAATTGGATTTAAATATTATCTTTTCCTTATGCTTGTCGATAACTGCCTTTTATTTATCATTTTTTAAATTTGTTCGATTTGCTATGGAGTTAAAATGAATGATGGGCAATGGGTGTTCGCTATGATCATGAAATTAAATTTATTTCAAAGCTTCGAATTTGCCGGCTCTGGTTCTTGGGTTCATTTATAACAACTCGATTAGCTCATTTGTGTGGTCTAAAGCTTAATGCAAATTATTTTTGTATAAGATGTTTTTGTAATTCTATGCATGCAACGAACAGGGGTACACGCCTCTGCACCTGGCTGCCCACTACAACAGACAAGACGTCTTCGACTTACTCGTTCACTACGGTAAGATCTTCTATGTCATCATATATCTGTGGTGATTGTATCTCATCACTTGATGTACCAATTTACGGCTGGCTGATTAAGTTCTTACATTGACGGGAGTTTGATGCACTTTTATTCTTCTCGCGAATTATATGCTCTGAAATTATACTTTCGCGGACGTATAGTCCGTGAAAAAATTTTTCGCGGGGACGTATAGTCCACGTCCAAACTAAAATTTTCCCAGTTAGCAAATATATGAATGTTTGATTTTTGTTTTATTCAAATGAAGACGGCAATTGATCGTTACACAAAAGCCACACGTTTTTATGACCATCTCTAACCCTCGCTGTATATTGATCTGCTCCTGCGATATTTCGATTTTCTCTTTTTCAGGTTCCGACTTGAACCTCCGTGACTACTCCGGCAAGAAGCCTCGCCAGTACAACACCATAGCCTCGTCCACCATCAGCCCAGAGCACCAAAAACGTAAGTATCCCAGCACCGCAGCTTCTCGAGGATACGCATCGAAACCTCACCGAGATCCAGGACCTCGACGCGAACCAAGACCGGTACATGAGATGACACTCGGCACCGGAGATCAATTCAGACGGGCTGAGAAGAAAAGAAGTTCTCTATTCGCACGAGGTAGTTTATTCTCGTCGAAGCGGAAACAAAAGTCCCGACCAACCATCGAGCCGTTGACGCCAAAGACCAGCTGGCCTCTTGAAGATGATGGTGGAGATGAAGGACTGCCAGAGCATTCAGATCGAAGTCTGTCTAGTCCTGACTTGACGAGCGACAAACAAATTGGTAAATCTGCGCACAGTTATTCAAAGCAACCTGACCAAGGTACAAACGATGGACATTTTTCTATGGGAAGAGGTAGAGGAGCTAACCCTCAAGCTGGAAATTATGCGTATTCTTCCCGTCGGGGAGCTATGCGTGGAGGCGGGGGCCGGACGCGTGGAAGAGTCAAGAAGTACAAAGGCCGTCCTCGACGTCGTTCTATCACCGGCGACAATCACACCCTCCCGTCCTACAAGAATCGCGGCCGAAGTGCCACCACGACAGAAGAAACTCCTGTTCACGGTCACAAGTCTAAGCTGGGACGATCAACGTCCATATTCTCGCTTGTTTTCGGTGGCAAAAAGAAGCACACTGAAGATGAAAATTTGCACACTATGAAACAATCTTTATCCTACAAGAACCTCAATGAACCCGTCGACAGTAATATCGAATATGTATCGAATTCTCCTCCAAGCTACAAAAACGATGACTTTGAGTCTCGAAATGTATCACCTGGAGGTAACGTGCAACATTTCAACAAGCATCGACTCGCCGATAAGAAAGCTCAGACAGCTTATAGGAATTCTCCGATGGGTTGGCCCATGCCTCAGTCGGTGTCTGGTAGTGAAGACAATTTTCATTCAGATTCAAGTTCTGTTGCTAAACCTCAGCCCATCAAACCAAAGCGTCGCAGTGGTGGCAATCCGAGTAGTGGGGTGGCAGACCAAGAAGTGAAAGATATGATTGATCAAAGAAGGATGCAGCAGATTCATTCTCGTAATGTTTATGAGGAAGATACATTGTCATCACACCAAGAAGTAGGCACGATGGTGAAAGTTCCCAAGGCATTTCCGGGTTCTAACATGAAAAAGAAAAAGTCACCGCGCCCCGATCTTGAAGATTCAGCCAAGGCTCCTCCAAAGGTTCCTTCTCACTCTCGCCATGAAACGGAAACCCGAAAACCTCACCCGGCTTATCCCGAATACTACAACAGTTACTCGGAAAATGATTCTGAATTCAACTCTGGTGGAGATTCAGAAACCGACTCGGAAGATGATTCTGATACAGATTCGGATGATTCTGCGATTATGAACAAAAAGCTGAGTGCCCTTGCAATTAAAGCTAAACTCGAAGAAAAGAAGGCTAAGAGGCAACCACAGACAGCCCACGACGAGACATCAGTTTGAGCTGCTTGCAATGTCCATTTGAGCATTTCGTATACGGTACATAGTCGCTTGATTTTACTCCATAACTAATCTGCATCTATTGGATTCCTATATTTACTCTCATTTGGGCCTTGTAAAATACATTAATTACTGAAAACCATAAAATGCATTATCTAGAGTTAGAGCTTGATCATTGTTAAACATTCTTACATCTCGCATTCCTTTTATATTGATTTAACAAATTATTCACTGTCGAAACAAAGAAGAGAAAACTTGAAATAAGTTCTGACAAAACCTTACTAGTAAGCGTTTAGAAATGAGAATTTTTTTGGCGTGTTTTTAGGATAATTTTGATTTGCTACGCGTGATCCGTAAATTTATTTTAATTTATAACTAAACATCTTGAGTGATTTCCAAGAATGTAAATTTTGGCAGAGGCTTGTGGATTGCCAGAAATAAAATGATTGCAAGAGGTGCTGATTGCCAGACGTGAGATGATTTCGAGCGGTAAAATGATTATATCCTTGTAATGTCAAGGTATAGAGATTGTCTTAAGATAATTGAAGGAGGTTCAATAATTTACGCGTTTTAATGATTGTTGCGGGCATTATGACTGCTAGAAGTAAAATGATTGTCAATGACGCTATAATTACCATAATTGATTGTATTTCTAGTGGGATAAGGATTGCCACAAGTATTATTGTGTGAGGTATGAGAGTTGCCCGAGATGAAAAGATTGTCATTTGTATGTGGATTGACAGGTGTATTAGGATTGCTAAAGGTACAACGGTTGATGACAATATATTGAGTTACAATGATTGCTAGTGGTAAAGGAATTGCAAGAGTTACAATGATTGCTAGTGGTAAATGAATTGCAAGAGTTAGCAATGATTGCTAGTGGTAAAGGAATTGCAAGAGTTACAATGATTGCTAGTGGTAAAGGAATTGCAAGAGTTACAATGATTGCTAGTGGTAATGGAATTGCAAGAGTTACAATGATTGCTAGTGGTAAAGGAATTGCATGAGTTACAATGATTGTTAGTAGTAAAGTAATTGCAAGAGTTACAATGATTGCTAGTGGTAAAGGAATTGCATGAGTTACAATGATTGCTAGTGGTGATTTAATTATTGTGAAAATTCTAATAATTGCCAGATGAACGATTGAAGGGCCTTAAGACATGTCCAACCACTGCACGCTTCATTTAGAACTATTTTCTATAGATTGCACTACTAAGCTCGCCCTGATTCAATTCAGTGCAGGAAGTTAATGTGCTGCCACGATTAGCGGGGCCTCCGGTTTCTTCAAATATTAGCGCATGCGCTAGAAATTTCTTGTTGGATTTTTAACACTAATCAAGTTCTGCCAGATGTGTTTTCTTACTCGTGTGGTTAGCGTTTGCGTAAGATTAAGAGTAGAAATATAGGTAATTGCTTATTATGCTGTTGTTTCTCGTTTAAGTTATCAGATTCTCTAGAGTTCTTCTTACCTTGATTGTTTTTTTTTTCTCCATATTTTTATTCAAGATGGTTCGTTTTGACCTCATCATGACGCCTCAATTTTCATCTGATCGAAGATATAAAAGATTAAAAATTTATCCTAAATCAAATTTATTTATTTGTTAAAATATGTAATGGGTTTTTAATCTACACGTTCCTATTTTCCAGATTTCCTCATAATTGTTTTTTTAATGATATAGCTTTTTTTTTATTCCATGACTGAATTCCTCCCTCCCCGAACTGACTGACAAAGTCGCACGGTTCTTCTGTATCAATGATACGAAATTTTAGCTACCAGCTTGACCGGCAGACTAACGTTTGTGCCTAATATGCTTGAAGCTCCATTTGTACTTCTATACATCGATCCCATTTGTACTTCAATACATCGATCCCATTTGTACTTCAATACATCGATCCCATTTGTACTTCAATACATCGATCCCATTTGAACTTAGTTAGGCTGTAACTTGGACCTTAACTTGGTAATTATTCTTGTGAGATCAAACTGCAATTGCTACACCTCAAGAAGTTCGAAATTTTGAAAGCCGTCACAAAATTTTAGGATTAAGAAAGAACTGCATTTTTGTTTGCTTATCGTGTGACTTAGCTTGTAGTAAGGTAATCTGTTGTTTTCTTTGTCGGGATTACTTCGAGTTTGATTATTTTGTGTCGGGTGTTTGTGATTTAATATAATGTAGTATTATTTATACGACAACACCATGCTGTTTTGGTGTAAATTTTACTTTACACAAACCCGGTGTGATTATTAAACTTTTGTGCCTCAAGGATATTGAACTATTTCGATAATGAAATTTTCCATATTATTAGCGCATTAAACCTAGTTTAACATTCTGACGTATCAAAGTTAGCTTTACCCGTTAGTAATCTAATTGAATCGTAATCATGTAGTCACGCATTTATTATCAGCGACAAGCGTTTCTGCTCCATTGTAACATTTATTGCCGCATTATCAGCGACAAGCGTTTCTGCTCCATTGCAACATTTATTGCCGCATAACTTCTTGAGGAATTATTTCCCATTGCAAACTGGTAATTGTGTTTATCGTCAAGACGGATTGCATGAAAAGTTTTATATATCATTAGGCTCTAGGTGTGTTCGCGAAGGCTCTTTTTGGTAGTAATTTATCTAATGGATCATTTAAATTGTCGTGATTTATGCGAGTATTTGGTTCATGAACTTTCTTCACGTACATTAAACTGACTTTCTAAGATAAAGCAATGAAAAAACGATGTAATTCATTATAATTTTTAATTATTTAGATTTAGTGCTGCATGCATTTTTATTCTGATTTTATACTTAATAACTTCGTATATTTTTCAAAATATTCTAGTAATACGAACAACTTGCTTCACAGTTTAGGTATTTTTTCTTAATTTCACGCTGAAGTAATTTATAATTTTTATCGAAAAAATTTTCAAGCGAATTTTCTTTTTCTTGTTCTCCAAGGATGGTCTGTTCTCCTTTCCACCACGACAGTTGACCATCTCGGGTCTAGCATTATTGCTGATGGAATAATTGAGCTTCATCCTGAACTCTAACTTTCAACCTATCTAACCCATCTCGCAATGGTTCTTTCATCATCCTAATCTATTCTTTTCTGCTTTTTATTTGGATTAATTTTTGTATACTTTTTTAGATAAAAATACTTTCCTGAGAGCTTCAAAGGTTTCTCACGCGACCTGCACTCTTTGGTCATAAACGCACTAACTGCATGAGTTTTTATTGACCTCTTCATCCTTACTTATTTACTTTGACTTTCCTTTGGTATCGTTCATATTCAGGTTGAAAAATTGTATATAAAGAGAGTTCTATACTAATTATTTGATGGTATCATCTACTACTAACTGGGATTTATTGGAATGCCCGACCAAAACAAGTGTCAAAACAATATATTTCTGCGTTCGGATACTTCTTAAGAACTTTTGCTTCAAATTTTCACCAGTTGACGACACCGAGAAACCTCGTTCATGAACTGACTTCATGCTATTGAAATTGTTCGCGCAGATGTCATGTAGCGAAGAACTTTCGGTGTCTGAAAGTTCTGAAAACATCAGCTTCTTCATGAAGGAGAAATTAACAACTTATTTATTGATATTCGCCATTATTTCCGTTCTTAATTTGAGAGTCCTAAACAAATATAATCGAATTAATCCATAATAGTCTGCTCACAATTCGATCACAACCGCGGAAGTTTTGTTTCTAAAATATCGCTTCACGTTGAGTTTTCCATAACTGGATGCGTTTTCATTGAGGTCCAAGACTTGAGTCTTGCGAGTTATTAAATTTTATCAAGTAATAATAATATCATTATTATTTTTTTATTATTATTATTATTATTAAAAGTTAACACCGAGATTTGAGTTATCGAGTGGGACGAAATTTCATCAAATCTCCGAGTTGCTCCCTCGAATGGACCCCTCAGCTTATTGATATTTGCTTATATTTGTGCTTAATTTTGTGTCTAAAACTGTGGCATGTTGATAGCTATTCAGTCTCTTAATTTTTTTCTTAGTTAATTCAGCTCAACATATCGCAACTTTTCAGTTCGAGCAATCGTAAACTTTAGCTTCCTGATGAATTCTTCTCTTTTAGTCGGTCTCCTACGAAGGGCATATTTGTTACTATCTAAAAATCTTACAAATACTTGAAGGTGTTATGTATTATTAACGTATGTTATCTAATGACGTTTGTGTTAGTATATTTGTAATTTGTATCAACTTTTGATGAAAATATGCCTTGTTATTTGAAAGCTTGTCATGTCATCATGATTGTAGATGGCAGCACCCACTTGCTTCTTTCCTTGTCTTATCACAACGTTTCTTATCAGCGGCTCCGCTCAGTTACGTTAGAGACAACAATGGCGCGCGTTTTTGCTTTGAAAACCCAAAATGTGAATTCATTCCCGCCGCTTAATCGCTAGTGTATCTCATGCCTCTTGGCTACCTAATACGTTTTTAGTGACACTGGTCACACTTATGAACAATGATATTTATATGTGATGATGCCTCAATGTATCCTAATTGTTTGGCGCCTGCAGCTCAAATATATTACCATATTGTAAACAAATGTCGTTAGACATTTTCACGTTCCGTCGTTAGATGCCAGAAAAATCATTTGATTTCAATTTCATTTCATTTGATTTCAATTGTTGTTTGTTTTAAGCTCACGAATATATTCATTGCGAAGATTAGGTCAAAGTTTTTGTCCTAAATTAAACTGTTCACTGCTAGAAGTTTGTATCTGAAGTAATTCCTCTAATTTTATTAATAAATTTTCTTTTCTTTGTTCCAGGTATTGTCCAGCGCCGGAATTCTAGTGAGTAAATGCATCGTTTGTTCAAAAAATTTTTACTAGCGTTAATTTTTGTTCATTCCTGTCGGAGAGAAGTGGAGCTCAAGCCTTATTTTAGAACACTTTTGTTGAGCTTCTCGCAATATCGTCGATTGTCGGGATAATATTATTTCTAATAAAATACCAACTTAGTCGATTTTTAACATGACCTTGGCCTAAATCAGCGACGAAAAAGTATTTACTATCCCATGTTTTTATCGACACATAGCGAGAATTTGAGATGTGTATGAGTATTGAACATTTTGGTCTGAAAACAGTATCCCAACCCTCCTAAACAATGTTTGCGTTACTTGTTCTCTGAATTTAATCTATTCAATGAGTACACAATCAAATGCTTACTTTTCATCGCTTCTCTATCAATTTTCTAACAAAACGCTCTCATAACAATCGCTATCAAATTCAGTTAAATTAATTTTAAATTTATTCTAAAGTTCTCTTTTACACGACTTATCAATCATTTAAATGATCAACTCTTTTAACATTTATCACTAATAATATCTAAAGTTACTAACGATAAACTTGATGCGCCTTCCTGACATGAACAGTGGAGCGACGGATCAACAAAAGGAATTCGAAGAAGCAACTTAAAATCGCGTCAACAATTCTGCTCTCAAAGTAGCCATAGCGGAGTTGCGTGAGGTTGGACCAGCCTAGCAAGCCGTTCAAAAGTGGGGTTCTATGTCGTGTAGTCTTGGTGATGGCATTGCAATTTAACTGTTTTTTGAGTGGCTAGTTACACCTAACAGTTGCAGTTGAATGTGCACATTTTTTCTTACGTTGTGCAATGCACGTTGTAGTTTGTCTACTGTTTTTCACTACCCGGCAATTGTTTTTACTTATTTTACTTGATCTCTTTATACTTTCACTGCTAGCGCCTAATATTGCAGTTCACAAGTGAAGTGGAATGGACAGTGAGAAGATTGTTTAAGATTTTCATGAAATTGAAGTACGTTTCAATTTTTTGTGCGAGACAATATCATTCTCAATTAGAACATGGCAATTACAAACCCAAATTTCATGGTAAATTTTATCTCAGCGTAAACTCATTTTTTTAGAGCGAGTGTCGTACTCCGAGTTCGCTGTGCAATTATATAATTGCTTCATGAACGAGCCTTTGCCGATTTCATCAGTGATGACGACAAAAACTTACATCCCGAATGCTATTAAATTTCTCTCGTTATGTTTATTTGCAGAATATGCTTGATTTTCATTGCTGAAATTTGTTTTTGTGTTTGATTTACCCGGAAATTTACAATAATTTACCTGGAGTTTCAGGTGGTTTGTTTCTAAAAAATTGTACGTTCTGAAACTGGAATGGTATTCAAGTTACTTTGTGTGTATGTTTCTTACCAGACTACAAACATCTGTGTTTTTTTTATACGCTTCCCGTGTTTTGTTAAAAAAAGAATTAGTGCCATGAATTTTGTTGGTCTTATCGCTTCTTGTTCCGCTGGCCTTGACATTTAATGCGTACAATATTTGTTCGTATTGCATTGTTATATTTATATAAAAATAAATTTATTTTCTGATATGTAGATAGCTTAATAATTCTCTAGTTATTGTTAATCGTTTTCTGTCTGCATTTAAGATTCAATAATTCGCTTTTTTACAGCAAGCTCTATACAATAATGAAGTTCGTAAGAACCTTCAAGCATTTATCCTGAAGACTGGTATTGTTAGAAAAATCCAAATTTGCTAATGTATTTCGTAATGACTTTCACCCTGTTTGCATACCGCATACTCCTTTATACTCAGCACGTTTTAATTGTTGTTTGAAGCTTTAAATCGATTTTATGTAAACTTCGTTTATAGTCATGTTTTAACTGAGATATTTGACAATATCGCACCTCATTCAGCCTATTGAAATATTAACCGTCAAATCTACTACCTACGTATATACTAAACCATGAATTTGACAGACATATCGTTCTAAATCAAATTCTTTCAAGCATGTTGCACTTGAACTATCTGTCTGCTGACGATAACTTCCTTTACTATGCGTCTAACGAATAACGCGGTTAAGGTATCAGTAGAGAAAAGGTTGAACAATACAGTGGGTGAGGGAAAAGAATATATACCGTAGTTGCAATGCAATGGTCTCTTTGAACTTGACGAAAATCATTTCATATTTAAACACGTGTTATTGATTGCGCAGTAAAAGACAGCGCGAGTTTCCTGCGCATTGGGTCGCTGAATGTGAAGGTGCGCCGCACGACCGAGGCCTTCAACGCGCTGCTGTCGCGAGACTCGAACGCAGTCGAGCAACTCCGACACCTGCTGCTATTGTATTGTTTGTAACCGATTGCAAATCGGCCTCAGTTGATATTTTCGGAATTGCTGCTCGATTATTTCTAGCTTGTGTGCGATGAAGTTTGATTGTAAAATGAATTAAATACATTCGATTGCTTTCATCTGAATTTCAATCTATCATAACGTAAATGTCTGTGTCAACTCTTTATGAATCTATCACTTTTTCGATTAAGGATTCGTATTAATCACAATTCTAGGAATAACTAACACTCCTGAGTATCACATCTCGACGAACGAGTCGCATTTCGACCAAATCACGGTTTATATTAATATTTAGACAATTTTCTTGCTTGCAAGGTCTTTGTGAACAGTAACAAAAATGTTGATGCCAAATTACTGCCACGCAATCCTTATCTCCGCGTGCGACGTAGAAGAACCGTGTTATCAAGCCTTCCCCAATGTCAAACCTAACCCAGATATCGGTATATATTGCGCCTGGAACCTTTTTGAATCCTTATCAGGGCGCCTGTGTAAGTGGGTCTCAGCTATGAATTTCTGTGTAATATTGATTGCACTGACGGGGCTGCGATAATTTAGGTTATGCATCTCGGTAACATATTTCTTTAAACGGTAACAATCGTTTTTTTTTTATTCTATAAAATGTTACCCATAAAATTAACCCATTTTTTTGTTCTCCACATATGCTGTGTAATGCTGCTGATCATCGCGCAGTACGTGAGTAAACAATCCACACGAAAGCAGAAGTTTTTGTCAGCTTTACCTTAAAATAATCTGTGTATAGGAAGCTTGTGCATTTTTTCAAGTAGCAATATTTGTAAATAAAAGGATAAAACCTTTGCCAGATGATTCACATAAAAACTCGGTAAGTTTGAAGACAATTTTATTTATTTTTCGTCATTTAACCATTAATTTTTTTCCACACGTTGCATCGTATGAAGTTCGAAGTACGATTCCCTATTTGTTTTTAGTGCTGGTTTTCGGAGGAACGTGTAATTTGATCATTGTTTATGCTGCTCGACTACACGTAATTACAGGCTATATGGAGATATGGTTTGCGAGTTTAGCTTTCATTTTCCGTCACTCAAGGCTTTGAACAGTTCAATTAGACACATTTATCGCCTTCTCAGCTGAGCGTGAGGGCCGATCTTCTGTCTCGCTTTATGTTCTCCCAAGAACGCCTCCCCATTTTTCCGCTCGTCTTTGTGGAGGCCGTGAAGTTAGATGACTTAGGCATGTGTGTTTACGGGGATGCTTCTTTTGTATGAACAGATTGCTCTCAAATGAGCAGGTTAACCTCGTTTAGTCCAAAGATCTCCATCACTTGCAGCCTTGATGACAGACTACAGGTCTCGTTAAATTTCCCTTCTCACGTCGTGGCTTGCGCTTCTTTTACGATCCTATTCTGATCGTCGTACGATCCGAGCTTGCTATGTAGACTCCAACATATGATATTCGACAACCCAGCGCTTGGAAAGTTTTTGAATCTGTTTTGAGCTTGCTTAGGTTACAACGTTTTATTTACTTTTGATTCGAATGAGTTGACGCTCATTTTTACGTTAAATAGTTTTTAAAAGGCTGTGTTTACGGTGAACGCAGTTTCCAGCGAATCTCGTACCAACGCTCAAGACTCAAATAATCGCAATACATTACTCGAGGAAATCACTCGCGTAAGCAAGCGGCAAATAAATCATGGTTGCATTCAATGGCGTTGTCATTATTACGATGCCTAATGACCCCTTGTGAATAAAACCTAGGCAGCAGCACGCAGGTATCTCGCCCATGATTCGGGAAGATCTTGGAACCTCGTGCCGGAACAAAAGAAAAACAATCAAGTCGTCCTCACGTCTGCTCATTTGCATAATACTGACCCACTCCTAATTAGCCTCACAGACCTTGTGATTAGTTTGCTTCCGTTAAATTGAGTTCGGGTTATATGGTCGTCTGTTCTTTTGTTATGTGCAGCCTATTGGGGCTGGAACGATTAGTGCGTTTTTTATTAGAAATACCTGCGAGTTACAGCTGCGAACAACTCTTTATAAGCTGCGTGATTTATTTTATGATAGTTTTTGTGTGATAATTTTGTTTGAACGACCACACATTTGATTGGTCCAATTTCCAACGAGACAATCGTAATGTATAGAAATTTTTTCTCCATTTTGCTACGGGATTTAAAAATTTCCACTGAATTAGTGAATTTGCATTAAGCCAAAAAATACTACGACGAAGACATATTATCTAGCCAAATTCGAACATGCAGATTATATTTAGTTTTAAAATTTTACACGCAGCGTAGTTCGCTTAGTATGGTCCATGTAAGACAATTAATGACCGCATGCAAGATTTCCTTGGGAATTGATAAGGAGGAAAAGAACCCAATTTTATATAAATATGTAATAAGTTGTGATTCTCTTCTTCTGGTAATATAATAATTCGAAACATCTTTCATTATGAGGTCAGTATATATATTATTAACTTGTGAATGTTTACGGTGCTGTAAAGACGGCGCTGCACTGGGCAGCAAAGCACGGGCGTGCAGAGGTGGTCCGTCTGCTGGCCGGCACCTACCAAGCGGATCCCAACGCGCGCAGCGTGAGTTCCGGCACTGCTTCCTCCCGGCGCCCAGTGATTGTTTTATACGTTAACATAACACATAATCACATAACATAATCGCGTTATGTTAGGAATAAACTTGGCGATGATTCTTTATGTTTTTAGATTACGTAAGAGCTTCGAATTAAATAAATGCATTATAAATGGTATTGAGGTTGCAACACTGAAAAATTTCTTTGTTATATGCTACCAAAAATATGTAATCGTTTTAACCCTCTACCGCCTGACATGAGTAACCGGAGCAATATTGTCACAAGCCTATTTACCAGAAGGATACGTTCTAGTGAGCGTACATATAATGACTTGCACTGATGGCTGCAGCTACGTACGACAACTTTAAAATGTTCTCTGTTGCGTACAGACGTCCTCAGGTTGCTACACTCGATAGTTTACGTATAACTTATGTTGAAAGTTATGTTCCTTGAGTGTGACATACGGCGGTAGAGGGTTAAATGTTGAAAGGGTCGGTTTGCACTTGAAGTTTTAAGTTTTTTATACGATGAAATTCGATCAAATCACTTGACTCTTCTAGCTCGTCCAATGCTTATAACAGCCAAGCACGGTTATATATAACAATTTAATATATAACGGCCAATTTGGTGATTATTGGTAGTGTTATGACGGTGTTACATTGAACTTACTTGTAATGTAACTCAGCGATGTACACGAATACTAATAGCGTTACATGAAATTTTTAAATCAAAATTTGTACTTAAAATTAGCAATAAATTCATTAATTTATGTTGGCGTTTGCTAAACGTCACTTAGTACTGTGGTACTGTTCTTACCCTAAAGTAAGCCTCATATTATTGTTTCAGGCTGACTCTATTTGTAATTCTTGTTCAACAATACCGTGGGTATCTATTTTGCGATGCACTTTAACGTTGAAAAATATTTTTAATGCGTCAGTAAATGGTAGCTAATAATTTGCACTTGTCGTTTAATAATATTGTAGGTTCATTTCTATCACATGCTTTCAAGAATGGCCATCTAATTGGATACAATAGCTACAAAATATTTTTGTATTGTTATTCTATCGAATTTCAGAAGTTCAAGAAGTTGTTTCCATTGAGTAATGTTCCAAACTTTTTGCCTGAATTTACGTGCTTTTAATTTATGCTTTGCTGGCATTCATTTTGTAGCTGTAGCCCCGTTCTCTACGCCTCATAGAAAAATGGCCTTAGCTATAGTATTTTCCTAGTTGCTGCATTATACTCGATGCAGTTTAAAGCGGCTCAATCTTCCAGGAACGCGAGTCGGGTTCGAACAGCAGCAGCAAGCTTATGCCGCCACCCATCTTCGGGCCGATGAAGAAGCGCAAGCTCAAGAAGGAGCGCAGTGAGATCTGCCCCGGGTCCGCGTCTTCGTCGGCGTCAAGTCGGCCGATTTCGTCGCCACTCCTGAGCAGTCTCTCGTCGTCCCTTGCTTCCTTGTCATCAACATCTAGCGCCGTCAGTAAGCCAGGTGGCGCCTCGAGTGGCCCGGTCATGCATCACAACTTCGTCTCCCAACAAAACCCGACTAATGTCAACTACAATTCTCAGCAAATCCCAACTCATAACGCGCATCGCCTTTCCGTCCAACAAGGCCACGATTCGGACTCGGACAACGCGTGTGGTTTTGGCTCTGATTGGCAGTAACCGTCGCTTCTTCCTCCACATTTTTGTTTTTGGATCACTTCTCATAAAAGTTATCGAGGTGTGAGATTGAACTTTTTAACGCCATCTTGATAAATCCTGGTAAACTGCCCCGTAGTTCGAGATGTCTTGTTTGGCTATGGTCCTGAGCGTGACTCCTGGGTATATTTTTGCATGTATGTATTGCATTTCCTCAAGTATTCTTATCAAAAGTTTCAACTTCCTCAGGTAAAAAGTTACTTGTACAACTTTCAGAATAGCTGATTCTTTTGACAATGCTGTTCTTAACATGTGATTCTCATGTTTTACGAGATGTCATAACAAATAAAAAATTTCATAAATATTAATTAGTATATTACCAGATTTATCATATTGCCAAAATATTTCGTTTCCCATTTTCAGCCTGTGATAATTTGTTTCCCGTTTTTGTATATAATGGGTTAGGATTATGGCTTGTTATTGTCTAAAGTTATGAATGAAAGTATCGTCGCAAACTAAAAGCTTTACATAACCTTTTTATCTACCTTATTCGGTTTATCTGAAACTCGTCCGTCTATGAACCGTACTAATGCTGCATCGCGCACCATTTCTAGCACAAGTTTTCACTCCACTGAACACGTTTAATGTAGAACATATAATTTGGCTTACCAATTAGAGCAAAATTGCTTGACAACGGACGCTGATTAAATATTTTTGAATCTGAAAACTCAAGTACTGCTATCAGATATTGGTTATCATTTTAAGCGTACGAAGCGAAAAATACTCAGCTCCTGTGTATTTGTAATTCTTACCTTTTATTACACCGGTAATTTTTACTGAAGAAGTATTTCAAGAACCGAAAAGTGCGACTCGCTCTCTTAACCACTTAGTAATAGAAAATTTTTACATTGTTATAGAGTACCGGGTATGAAGAAAACCTTTTTCATCTTGAGTTATTCAAATAATTGTATAATTTCAATGTACACTTCCAAGGAAATGACGTTGATGCTTTTTAAGGTACTAATGAAAAGTAAATTAATGTGATGGATGACTATGTAAAGACAAAATAAAACATTTTCATACGAAAGGAACATTTTTATTGCATATGATCACCTGCAGTTGTCGAAAAGGAACCAAGAAACTGAACATTTGCTACAAGGAATCATGAAGATTATGCGATCACTGAACTTGTGTGCTGATATCAGGCAACTTTCATTATTATTCATTACTGTAGTCCCACAAATTAGTTGAAAGACAAAATGAAATGCGCAAGTATCGAGCTTAAGTTTAGAACCATGAACAAGTACAGTTTTAACCGCAACCATAAGGTCGTTGATTTTTAAGGCTCCTTAGCGATGATATTGTCGAACACGTGACTTCGTTATCACATTATTATCAAGGGCCAACACAGAGTGAGAAAAGATCAGCCAACTAACATTTCGACAGAGAGGTGTGACGCTTCCATATGTTTTATACACACTTATTATCACTTAGCCTTCCCATTCGATTGGACAGAACTGCATTAACTTCCATTCGCTCAGTATTGACGACATTCACAGGAAGACCAAGATCTTCCTAGCGAGTTCCAAGTATGAACTCTAATTACTATTAAAAACATTCAAGATGAAATCTTAACAGCACTTATAAAAAAAATGTACCGAATGGCGACACTGAAAATATTTTACAAAATAGAATTGATGCGTTTATTTGAAATTATAGTATTAATTTTACCCAGCAACACTGCCTGGTGTCTCGATAACATTTAAAAATTGAGAATTCTGAACGAAATAAAACTTGCGCTCCAAAATATGGAATCAAATCTAACAAGAAGAGTAGGCCTAATACGCATCAGCAGCCTTCCTACAATAGACCAATTATAAATAAATATTAATCACACGGTATTATATGACAGAAGGATTTACAAATGCGCCGGTCCGAACCTATAACGAGTGATATTTTTCGCGTGTGCGATATGTATGGCATCAAAGGGTAGCATAACTATACGATCAGTACATCGCAGATCTACAAATACTCAACTTGAACTACAGTCAATGCACTTACACTACTGAAATCAACACAAGAAACATTAAGAATGCCAACAGGATAAAGAAGTATAGTCATGAAGAACATGAAGTGCCGACATCTCTCCAATCCTTAAATTACGGGAGTCAAACCAAGAGAATGTAAAACACATGCCTGCAAATTATTCTTGTAATAACGATATGGCTCAGCTATCATGAGCCGTGATCCTATAACCTAGAAGCTTACATAGGCACGTCATTGACAAAAAAATTAGATACAAATAGTATAGATTAGAACGAACCAAAGTAGGTTTCTTGCTTTGAAGAAGATTACGTACACTTCATAATTCGACACAGACTCATGCGTACAGAGATCACAAATTGATCAAATTGGCACGTAGTTGAAGTAGAACGTTGAGGCAAACTAAAGCAAATAACGTCACCAAATATGAAGAAAAGAAGCAGATAGTTTACTTAAGTAAAATATAAGATGCGCATTAATTATTCAACTGGCTTATCATATCAAAATCATGCAGTTGCTTAAGGTAACGAAAGTTGATTGGAAAGGATGTAGCTTAATAAGCTCCATCAATAAAATTCATACGAAGACGCTATATGGAAGAACACACTACGTTGAACTTCAACTGTTGAACAAATTATGGAGGCACACGAGTTATTCATTTCAATGTAAAGTTAATCATACAGTGAAACACCTAACACATACTTTGATATCAACAAACTTTGTGGGGTAAAAAAATAAAATAGGAAATTCGATGAAATTTCAAAGAATCGCGTTGCAGATCAAGAAGTTCAAGGTTCGCGTATCAAGGGTTTAGCTTAATATATCAGTCTTATTACGACACGCGTATTGTGGGATTTAAAGATAACTAACAAGTGAGTACATAGCTTGCAGTCTTGCTCCATATCTTCAACACAACAATTAATGTTCCAGGAGTTGCCTACAGCGACGTAGCTACACCGCCAGTAAATGACAGTAACTATTGATAGTCGGCATGATATGTGAGCTGCTCGCGTATTATTCACCGAAACATTGATTGTGAAGCCAAGAATACGTCAGTAACTAGTCGCAGAACTTCTAGGCTTACTCGTCTACATGAGAGACGACCAATCGATCGAAGCGCTTCTAGATTGCGGATGGTTCAAAGTCATTCCTCAAGAGTTCCAACAGAATTATTTCCCATGCGACTGGTAACACACTGTCTATTCCGCAGCTGACAAGAGATCACATGGAACACGCAAGACTCTGCGTTTAGCAGCTAAAACATTGTAGATATACAAGACGATTAGACAACATTCGTCACAGAGAAACATCAATTAACATTTTCAAAGTTTTTTACAAGTCTTTGAGCAGGTGGCAACATTAAACAAGAAGTGTAAATTTATCATCTAGTGTGTCAAAGTAAGCTCAGCGTTATAGATATTAATTAACCTCTTCGATTATCCGCAACATAAATCATTTCAACACTGAGTGTACAGTTGTACATTGTTTGAAGAGATAATTTGATTATTAAACACCTATAAGTATGGGCTTTACTTTCTAAGAAAGAGTAGAACCCGCATCGTTGATGGCAGCTTAGACAATTGATCAAGTTCAAAATGTAGTGCCAACGGTACATGGATATTTCGTTCTCCTTATGCACGGCAGCATCACACTAGTACGTTTTCACGCTGCTGACGCGAAGGAAGAGTTTGAACTGGAGATGAGTCGTCATCTGATGAGCTTGAATGATTTTCAACTGCCTTGTTAGCTCGAGCTGCAGAAATAAAAAAATTACTTAATCAGGGAGCCATACGGCATTCTACGACATAATTTTCATGCAGGTTATATTTATTTATGACAGCTTGTCATTTTCTGATGAGTTAAACAAAAACTACTTCATCGATGCACTTGAACAGCATCCTCACCTCAAAACTGGAGACCAGAGAGATGGTCAGGGGATGCAGAAGATGATGACGCTGCACACGATGAACGGAAAATAAACAACGAGCTACACAACAATACGGCATACGTGCAAACGGGGGCTTCTAAAGCAGCGGTCCGTCATTACCAGGGCGATAAGAATTCATTGAAGCGGTTAGTGCTTTGATCAATACAAATATCGAAAATTTAGTCTCAATAACAAATGTATCAATTATCAACAGAGTTTAATAAGGGATTCCTTTTCAATTTAGTTCATTGATAGAGAATAAAACATTTCTGGATTTGAGATTTGCTAAATTTTAATGAGCACTATCCTCGCTGCGATGAATTCCGCCAGTACAAAAACAAAAAATTAAGAAGCTAAACTGCTACAAAGCAAGCAACATAAAAAAATGCTCAAAATATCATAACCTCAACAAAGTCCCTAGAAGATCAAATGAACACCACGCACACACGTATGAAATTAGAACATGTGTGCTCAGCGAACACGAATGCTACTCGTAGAGCTTCGTTCGTAATAAATACTTATTACTTACAAATATTTTTATCACATTCTGTTCTGAAGACATGCAAAGAAAATCAGTTATCGTGGATACAGGGTAGGGAAAGCTTCAAGGGTTAACCCATGCATCAGTAAAGGAAAATAGTGTGTTGAACACTCACTCAAATAAGCTCGTCAGCAACCGTAGGTTCTTTCAGGAAAATCTGCTTCCATAGAAATTCGAATGGAAATTCACTTTGTAAGTTTGTAAAAATTCAAACATCATATAATACACGTAATTTGACCCGGAAATATTTATCAGAATTTGCAGGTGAATACCAAAGCCTAAACACTGGAACACGTTTGAATAAAACGCGCTCTCGAGCTTTGCTCAAACAACAGTCAAAACACAAAGAATACTCACACCGAATATTATCAAAAGAAGACTTTTGAAAGTGAACAAATCAATACTCAACCTTTCTTGAAACAATTCAGGCAACAATAACATACTCAATTTTTTTCAAGCAATGTCACGATGAATCTAAATCTATAATTTCAGGACTACACTTACAAAACTATTGCATTGCCAGCAACAAAAAAGAATTTGTTAAAACGCAAATTTACACACAAATAATGACTACTAAAAAAATTGCACACCAAAATTAGCAATAAAATAATACAACCAAAACAACATACAGTACAAATAATAAAATTTTACAGAATCGGGAAAGCATATAACTCACCAGCAACAAGACGGCTTTTCTCCATGACTTGTCGTGCCAGGATTTGGTTCATAGCAAGGATATGTTCCCTCTCCTTCCTCTCCTTGGCTTTAGCAACGAACTCTCCGCCGTTATCGCTGTCTGCGCCACCCTTGGCCCACTGTGAGGGCTGGTCCTGAGGGGCGTCCGCTGCGAGACTCGTGCTGGACTCGGTCAACATACGCCTGATGCTGAGCGCCTTGTCTTCACGACGCCGACGCTCCTCAGGCGACACGTCTTTTGCATCGTCCTGGCAACGAGACGAGTTACTCAAAGGCCGCTTTGAATGCGTGAACACAAAAAGAGTGAATAACAGAATGAAAATGGAGCGCAAATTTGGACACGAAGGCAGGACATGTTCTTAGCATCATTAGATCATCGAATCAGCATAACTAAAGTACAATTAAATTCTTAAAGTAGAACTTTTTCGACAAGATTAAAGCTAGTAGAATGGTTTGGTAAACATAACACTTGAAATGTTGTAACAATATATTTCAGATTATTGAAGGATATTATTATGCAAAAATCACTTCATCGATAGTGCGCATATTGGAGAAAGTCTTCTTGCGCAGTATATGCAGAAGGAATCCGATTCAAAGAAAAGAATCAGTTGACAGGATGTCGCGTAGCTACATAGAAAGTAAGTTGGTTCTAGAGAGAAGAATTTCTCTAGAGTACATTCGAATATTTGCTAAATATAAGTACTTACTTCATCAGGGACGTATCTCTCAGGAATATGTATCTTGCTGGGAGCCCCGAAGATGGAGTCAATGGTGGTCTCGTTGATGCGCAGGTCGCGGGTGCTCAGCGTCGACTTGACCACGTCAGGGTGGTTGCGGGGGCGCAGCGCCCTGGCCATGTCGCAGTCGTCGCGCGATCGAGCTCCCTGTTAAACATTAAGTTCTCTCATCAAACTACACAAATTATTTACATTTTAATAATTGCTGTTCTCTAACCGAAGTGTAATTACACCTCTATGTCGAATTATAGGTGTCTCACTGTTCCAAATAGCGAATAGAAACTAAAAGGAAAGTGTTGAGTTACAGGAATGTGACAGATTTCAGAGAGGAATAATTTTAAAACGTTCATATACTTGCAGACTGTTTTCTCACCACAAGCATAGATTATTTTTGTTGGTGGAGTATTCTATTCCTATTCCTAGACATGAAGAATAACTTCAAAGCACTAATGCCAAGTCCTCAACCTCATGCAAATCCATGCTTGTAATATTACTCAATTCTAATGCAACACGAAAAATATCAATTTAGCACAATCTGAAGCATTTCATTAGCGATAGTGAAGACTTAATACTGATGCCTTCATTCCATTCATTAGATTTGATGTATTTAAAGAATGTGATAATATTTCACTAATTAATATTCAATGAGAATTATTTATTACCCTTAATTAAATTGAGGGTTTGAACTGGCAAAATTATTCAGATTAAACCTGATAATAGTATTAGTATTTTTAACAAAAAATATTGATCATTGTATTAACGATTCTCAGAAAAATCGAAAAAAACTGCTCACATAATCTCCAAAGCATATCTCTCACCATTAAAAATGCATCCAAAACGCATGCTGTTATTATGACATTTAACGATCTACATTCTACACCGTAGAAGATATAAAGTATTCAACACTGTCTTTATAAAAGCAGGAATTATACAAACATATTAGGAAATCAAAAACCCACGGATTCAAGATGCAACACGTTGCGAGTCATGATCCAAAATAAAGAACGAAAAAAAAATTAATTCGAAGAGTTGATAACGTTTTGTTAGTGTCGTTAAGTCTAGCACCGCAGGCAATCCTCCGAAAGATAGAAAGTCATCCAGGCTCGAAGGCGCACAAGGAACAGTAGTCGGTACCTCTTCAAGAGATTCACGAGAGGTTTCCATTGTTATTGGCCTGCTGCTAGAAATGGTGACATGACGCCTCTTCTCCTTTGGCACAGCACGGCGATATTTCTCAGCTTCCGAGACAATTTCTTTGATAATCTCTTGTGCAGCGGCACTTTTGAACACCGGGGATGACGGGGACTGGGGTTTTGAAGGAGATACGGGTGGAGAATTGCCGAAAAGCTGATCCCTGGCACTCTGCGCGGGGCTTGTCTCGACCTTCACAACAACGTACACAACATACATACTACAATCCTCACGCACATCTTATACAGTATTCGGAAAGAGGATATTTATGTGACGTATAAATAAATTCATCTACAGACGAGACGAGGAATAAGGCGAGGTTTGTGATCGACATCAAACGCATGCTACATTTGTACAATAACAAAGGAAGCGGATAAGCACTAAGGGTCAGTAAGGTTAAATAATTATTAAATATCACATGGGTATATAGCGTCCATTAATGAAGATTCACTTGGATTCATAGCAAAATCGTACTGTTCTTAGATTCAGAGAACTATACTATAGTACACGGACAACGTAATAAGTGTAGCTGTGATTCAAGAGGAAAATACAAATGTTGAAAATTTTGTAAAAAATTATGTAAAAATAGATTAGATGAAACTTTCGTACAGGTAACACAAAGCGAACAGCTTTACAGGCAGGATTTACACCAATGAGGAATTATACTTAATGAAATGTGAGTGGATAATAGAATTCCAACAATTCCCTGCAAGTGTCAAGATTGTTAGGGGAATGCATGAGATATAAAAAGTATAAAAACACATATATTGTAATTACGACATCAATGAGTTACCACTGTTAAGTTTCCACCACCACAGCAATAAATTTTGCTTCTAATCTAAATTATACGTGATTTTACTCTTTAAAAAAATGTGGTGTCAAATTAAAGAGGGACATTGCATAAAATTAAGAATGAAATCATGCTTCCTCTGTGCCAATAGTTGCATGCACAATCGAAAGGCGCTTGACCTTCCAAAGATTTGTAATTAAATAAACCTTTTCCCTTACCACCGGGGCGGCAGGAGGGTTGTTTCCTTTTGTTATTTTTTTCCATTTGGGAATCTTAACTTGAAATCGACCTACCTTTGACTTCCAGGCAGACTTAGGTTTGAGAGGCAGGTTACTCGGCCGGGAGGAGGACGACGCAGAGACGTTTGATGCAACTGATGTTTTGGTCGCGGTTGCCCCAGTTTGAGTTGCTCGTTTGTTGGGCCGATCGCCCCACTCGCTATCCCGGCCATAATTACGAGGCAAGGAAGCCGTGCGTTCCTGATACGAGGGCAGCGCCGAGGTTGTCACAGGCACGGCTGTGGTGATAGGAACGGAACTAACGGAAGAAGATTGATAATCAGGAGCATTTTGATAAAGACTTATTGTAGAGGGAGGATAGGATGACTGTTGCTGAGCAAGATATGTTTGAGACGAGGAAGAATATCCAGACGAATACGAAGACGATAAATGGTGACGAGGCAAACCCTTCGTCATTGATATGGAGGAAGCAAGAGGGACGTGAACAGGAGATGATTCGGAATCTAATTCCGGCTCGGATGTTTGCTCGCCGCTGTCGCTCTCGAGTTCGTCTTCCAAGACGTGCGACAAGGGCGAGTCTCCGCCAAGTTTCTTGCCGCTGCTGGAGCTGTAGGTGCGGTCCTTGCGACGCTCTGTGGACTCGCGCTTCACGATCCGCACAGTCTTCGGCTCCAGAGACTTCTCTTTAGGTAACAAACCTGGGAGCAATGATAATATACTACCTAAAAATTAATTCATCACAAGAAAATATTGAATAAAAAAAAGCAGTACTAAAGACGAGGGTGAATGGTGTAACATAAGCTTAGACAATGAAAGCCAAGCTGATAAAAACACAAATATCGCTCAGAATTTCTCAAAGAATCAAACGTACCATAGAACCTCTTCATGCGCTCATCAGCATCATCAGAGTCATCAAGACGAAGTCCACCAATGCCCGCTTGCTCTTGGCCGTCGGGTTTATTGGTCGCAGAGTTGCGGTCATAACCGACGCCATAGAAAGCGCGATCACGAAGCTCCCCAGAGGATAGGGCCATTGGATTTTCCACGGCGTACATTGCTTCGTCAGGCTCCAGTCTGCGGGAGTAGCTCGAGTCCATCGTGTGACGGCGGATACCTGAAAATTCCCGACGGGATCCCTCACCATCGGATGATGGAAGACCAGTCCGGCCGTACATCCCGGACATGTAAGGACTCTGGAAAATTCGAGCGTTTTAGTATTTTGTACTCTATCATTAATTCACTAGTCACCTAAGTGGGAAGTTTTGATCCAAAACATCCATGAAGTTCAAAGTAAATCAGTATAACCATCGTCTATTGATGGCAACGATATTTAAAAGGAATTTAGATGCGAATAGCATTAACGATGATCAACGTATAAGTACACATTGAGTTAAAGACAACTAACTAATAAAATAATATCCCTCGAAAGAAACAGCAATATTCAAATATGTGTTCAAATACTTGAATTATATTGCTTTGAGATATGTTTGAAGGACGAAATTCCCAAGGTTTCTTCTCAGGACAAGCCAGAGGAGCTCTATAAATAAGCCGTGGCACAAACGAACACTCAATCCTAATTGAATAAAATCTGACAGTTCACCTCAGAATCATAGCCCATTCCTCTCCGATAAATGTCCATGGAGTCTGGATCAAGCAGAGGCGAGTCGGGCATGTCTACGCCGATATCCCGAGTGATCATGAGATCGAGGTCGGTCTCCAGCCACGTGGTGTGTGAACGATGCCGAGAAGCTCCCGTGCTGCTGTGGTATGAGCTGGAGAGACTCAGGGGCGAGGAGGAATGCAGGCCATAGAGTCGTTTCTCTTCGGAATTAGACATCGTCAACTTGTGGATCTGAAATACACATTGGATCTATGTGGTAAAGGGATTTGCACGACGGAAGGGGTTTTGTTACATAGAAGCAGGATTTCGGGACATGGGAGTGAAATGTCATGGAAGAAGAATGAGAATTCACGAAAGATAAAAAGAGGAATTCGTGAAAGAGGACACAGACTTAATGCCCATAAATTATATCTAATTGCTTTGGTACAGAACGATTAAATTCAATTGCAATATACAGCAAAGGCTGGATCCTTACCAATCGCGAGGACATTAAAACCTGAAAATCATATATATATATATATATCATGGAAATATTGCTTACGATGTCGAGCAACACCACAATGAGTACATCATGTGTAAAGAATAAATGTTTTTACAATAGAATGAGAGCAACAAGAATGAGTAAAACAGAAAAACAAATAAAACGAGAAAGCAAGCAGGAACGTGAAAGAGAAAAGATCTTGATAAGCACGAGACAGCGCAGTCACCTGTTGACTCAGATGCAAACGTCTGTTCTGCAGGTCTTCAAGAAGCGCCTGAACGCGAAGCATCTCGCTCTCAATGTGCCGGGTTTTGGATGTGCCGTCACCGCAGTCACGCCGAGCGTTGCGGGCCATCGTCTGCTGTATCTTCTGCCGCAACATCATCATCTCGTGCTCCAGGCGACTGTTCTCGGCGGCGGTTTCTTCCAGCTTCTGCACGCAAGGACAAGTTTGTGTTTAGTTTATTAAGTTTATTCTGTAACATTGCCGAGGGTTGGCAAGTAAATCTGGAAATATTATGCATACACGAAATCGATCAATCAATCTTGTATGGCAGCGATACGGAGACTAATTCACGATAAATCATACATGACACAGTTCGGTCTCATAAGAAAGCGCCTCCTCAATAAAACTGGCTCGAGATAAATTATGACAAATATAAACTTTAATTCATACCTATGTATGTAGTGTCTTTCACGAGGTAACTTATGACCTGTTTCAAACTAAATTTAAAGTTTCTATGATCTCGGCTAATTTTCTGAAATGAAACAAGAATGTTTCTATATTTGCTATTGTTCTTGACGAGTAGCATGCCCATTAACCAGTCGCGCGTGACTCATTTCTTCAGGCAAAAAATGACATGGGAGAACATGAATCACAAATTGACAATCTCAAGGAGTTCACCGAAAAATTTATAAAGAAACGATAACAATTCGTCAGAGTTTTTTGTGAGCAAGAAAGATCGGAAATATTAATCATTCAACTGATTTTATAATCTTTTTCAGAATGTTTGCTGATTTAAACCTTAATTTTCGCTCGAGTAATGTTTTTCTTTTTCATTGAAAATTACAGGGGATAAGAAAAATAATTAATATATTTCCAGCAAAGAATTTGTTTACAGTAAAAATACTGAAAACCTCATATAAATTCGCACGTTATGTACAGCTAACAGTCTTATTTCCTTGCACAAGCGACCAGAGTTGCTCGAGGTGTCAGCACGACTGCACGAGCAATACGAACGAAATGGAAACTCGTTTATGACGAGTGTTCACGCATCACGCACGGTATTCTGAGTTGATCGCTGTTGGCATCCGATGCTGGAGGTCATTATTAAACGGATCTGCATATATTATTTGTACATGAATACAGTCTTCGTCACACACCGACATGAGTAAAAATGCACGGCGAGACTAGGGTATCTAACATTGCATGGTCATCACTCGGCTGATGGTGGAACACTGAGACGCGTTGCGAACGAATTCTCTGATCGCCTTGACGTTCGAGCTACAAGTGTTCATCACAGTGAACACTTGCGATACTGAGAACAAAACGAGGCTAATTTTATTCGGGAAACATACCACATGAAGTAGAACGCCTACAATTCGTTGTAATTTAATCAACTTACCATAGAAGACAAATAAAAAAATACCGTACTGTCATACAAAAAAAACTGTCATAGAATGGTTAACAGGCAATGTATTCAAGCGGTTGAAGCAATTTACGCCAAATAAGGACTACTTTTGCGTCAACTGCCAAAGAAGTGAATGTCAAATGCAACATCACTCGCAAAACTCACCCCAGAAGACAAGGCAAGATGGGATCGTAGTTGCGAAAGCTCCCTCTCAAGGCGCAATCGGAGTCGATCTCGTCTCTGAGCCTCCTCGATGGTGGCTGGAACTTGAGACGAACTCGAGTGCAGAGCAAACAACGCGCGTTCCAGTGACTCCTACGTGATGGGATAACGCGTGACTTGCATCATTACTAGAATCGTACATGAATTCTAAGTAATGTGATAACGCGTGACTTGCATCATTACTATAATCATACGTGAATGTTTAGCCGTAAGCTTAAAGCTGTTCAGATTTCGTACAGGTCTCCTGAACAAAACCGTAGGCATTAAAGATTCAACAAAAGAAAATTCTACAGTCATAGTTATTATAACGCAATTTCATACTCCATTCAAATATAATTATTTTTCTTCCGAGTTGCACAAGCAGATACGCATATACACTATACAGGCCCGTAGGTCGACAATTTTTAATTCTACTTATGCTTGTTGCGAGGTTTAGCTTTACACGATTTCACCAAAGAAGCTTGATCTTGAAATACTGTTTTTTGACTCTATGTAATATCATAAAAATAATAATAACGATAACTAATGACAATAATTATCCTCCCAGACGAAATAAAATTTAAATAAATAAATGCATAATACTGACAGGACCACCAGAATCTAAATTTAGCGAACCACAACCAGTAGAAAATTAAGAAAGCGTGAAAATTTTAGTATATCATATTAACTAAAATAGAGAAAACGCACACCAATATTACGATAGAAAAAAAGGAACCCCAAACCAAGCCTTAAACACCCAGTTTTAATGATGAATAACTCACGTAATACCTTTGCAAAAAACAGCGGATGCAACCGTGAAAATAAAATCAGTCATGCATAAAATTTATCATACCGAGAAAGAAATCTAAAATATATTTTTCAGAGTTGATGTGTTTTTGGGCGTTTCTTTGTATGTGTGTTTGGAGCCTGGCACCGTAGTTTGAGGATACGGTATCATGGATACGCCTGGCGCGTATCCAGGATATCGTGATATTTCCTGAACTGAAAATTTGTTCCCATAGTACGTAGTCCGAGAGAGAATAGGAAAGCATAGCAAAACTTAGACTAGAGATAAGGAATGGACAATAATTGAAAGCTAATTTTAGTTAATTTTTTTAATAACAGTTTTTTTAACTAGAATACATAAGCGTTAATATAATTAACAGGATTATGAACAAAATAAATGCAAGAGATGGCGAGCACAATAGTGCATTTTTTCCATAAATGAGAAAATGCGCTAAAAACTTCGAATTCTGTAAGAATTCATCCATCTTCTGTTCAATAAATAGTAAATTATTGCATAATGAAGGTGATAGTATCAAACCTAAGGTGCCAAGAAAGATGGGAGTCGTGTAAGTAAGCAATAACCAGAGATGATTTGTACATCCTTGCTGTAAATACGGTAACTCTTTACTGTCGTGCAATTTAGTACGTTATAGCAACTTCTTAGTGGAAAAAGCGTTAAATAACAGCATTAATGGCTTGCTAGAGACCGTACATATTGGCATTGATTACACAGGAGTTTCATCTTTTCAAACAAATGGCTCAGATGAAAAACGCGTTAAAAAATAATAACCCGTATTAAAATTTCAATGTGGAAGTTTATTATAAAAAGAAAAAAGACTATTATATGAACGTGGCTTCACGGCCGATTAAATAGCTGAGTTAATATTAGGCTTTTTAGCAATACCAGAGCCAAATTACTGATACTTGTTAGTGACCACGCGTTTAGTGTTAAATTAATCAAGCATACATATTTGACAGGCAATTGCGACTCAGCTGTACATTCGCCAGTACCTTTTCTGTCTGCAAAGCCTGAATGGTAAGAGATTCCTGCTGGATCGCGTGTTCCAGGTTATACAAGCGCAGGACTTTACCCTGAATCGAAAAAGTCGTCCAAAAAAATTGATTAGATCAGCAGACAATAAATAATAGAACAAATTATTTAAAAGAGTTCACAATAGAATCGAATAATATTCGATCGAGTAAATCAGGAGGATAAGAACAGGTAAATTAGGAGGATAAGAAAAGGTAAATCAGGAGGATGAGAACACAATGAAGTAGAAGCGTTGAGGAGTGAATAAATCAGGGAAATTCAAAACGCAAAACTACGTCTATAAAAAAATATGATCATTACAGAAGCGCTTATACCATACAAAGTTATTCGATTCTTGAACACAGTTTAGAAGTAAATGCGTGAACGGATTGATTATAGAGAATAGCAATAAAAGTTTCGCAAGACATGAGTAAAACAGAATGCAAATCTTAAATGTAGATTTTAATTTCTGCCGTAGGTGCTACAGAAATTGAAAGCAAGCGAGGGGAAACTCTAATACTGGGAAATATTAAAAAACTACTTAAAGTGAGGTGCTAACTAATGGTATCAAGAGTCTCTTGAGAGTTACCACTCAAAAATGCATATGAAACCAATCACTAAGTATCGACTAAAGACGATGAAACCTCAGAAGAACACAAGATAACGTACTAACTTAGTAAGAAAGAGTTGAAAAAGTGAAAAATACTGCAATGCAAAGTCTAACCGCAAGTCAAGAACAACTTCTAAAACGTAGTTACTTCTTCAGAAGTCGTGCATTTGACCCAAACGTTGCGCACGCTCACACAAATAAAAAGGCAAACGTAATGTATTTTTTAGCAAAGTATTTATCAGCGTTTGATGCAATAAACGGCATCAACGACGATTCAAAGCATAAACAGTATATGGTGCCTGCCATATAAACTTTAAAGTGTTCATAATGTCAAAATGACCAACATTACTCGGTTATTAAAACACCAATGACACGTAACTAACGCGTAAAATATCTAGTTACAAGATAAATACCATCAAGTGCATTAAAAAACATACAAATCTTGAAATACCAGAAACAAATTTAGTTTGAATACTTGATCAAGACTACGATAAGGAAAGCTTAAGAGTGGAAAAAACTATTACTAATGTTTCAGACAAGGAATATCGCAAAACAACATTTAAACTCTACAATAAATTAGAGAATTAGCACCAACAAGAAAACAAAGTAAAAGTAACACACTTTGTCAAGAGAGGAGAATTTGGACTGAAATAATGAGGAATGTTACGATTCAGCACAAATGTTCATATTAAGATTTATAAATAAACGTTTTAGAAAATCATGATTAAATAGGATAAATGAACGAAAATCGTTGGACGCCTCACCTCGAGGTCCGCTTGGTCGGGGGACAGCAGCTCGTACTCCTCCCTGTCCTCGTCCACGATGCGGCGCTCCTGCACGCGACGTGTGAACTCCAGGCTGTCGTTGGCGTTCTGGGCGTCCTGGGCATGACGGGGGGTACGTGTTACAACAGGCACAGGCATGCTTTGGTCTTAGGGCACAACGCTTAACGTGTTACTACCAAAAAAAAATTGTAGGAGGTGTTACCGCGGTCAAGCTTGGTCTTATGGCAGAACGCCCAAAGTGTTAATACCAAGAAAATAACAAAAGCTGTTACTGCGGTCAAGTTTGGTCTTGGGGTAGAACGCTCAATGAGTTATGCTCGAAAACATGATTGAGTAATAGTGCGAAAAAGTTTACCAATTAAAAAGTTTACTAATACCCATTAAACCTCGCCATGATAGTGTTATTACAGTAAAAAAAATTAGCACGTAGCATCAGAATGCAGACGTAGCATGGCACAGACGTAGCCTACAAAGAAAGAGCTGAAATGAGCAACGCTATCACACCATTTTAATAAATGTACCTATTCTATTTTTCTCGTAACGAGTGATATACTTCAAGCTGATATAAACAAATAAATTCTGTTGATTGAACTGCACAATCGCTGAGACATCACAAGTTTTATCCCACTTTCATGTTCAAACTAAAAAAATTTGCATTCTGGACGAAGGGCGGGGGTTAATACGGTTTAAGCGTCAACAAATACATAGTGGCCTCGGAGAGGGAACGTCTCAGGATTATTAAAAAGTCCTGAGCGTGTCTGTGCAAGATAAACTTGAAAAAAAAAACAAAGAGCAAAGAGATGGACAAGTCACGGCAGGGACTAGAAAATAGGAACTGATAAGACATGTAAAGACTGTAGAAGCAACAATGCAATTGTGATCACATAAAGCTAAGCGTAAAGTAATTTACAACAATGATACACAGTATAAATATGGCAATATTTACAGTCAATATCATTACACTTACTCAGAACTACAGTGCAATGAATAAAGGTTAAGTTTTATGTCACTATCACGAGAGAAATATTATGTTGGTGAAAAAGAAACACCCGATTCTAGGATTTTTCACGATATTGAGAAATGGCAACAGATTTAAGACAACACATCATAATGGAGATTCGTATGGAAAATCAGATGAATATTTTTAGCTGTTTTACGAAAGAATTGCGTGTTTTACCACTGATTCAAATTAAATAACAATAACAGCATAACCTTGAGATGAAAAATTGTGATATTTGGTGTTAATAAGATAATTAAGATGAACGTCTCGAGAATTTTTTGTTTAACAACGCATTCAATAAGTTTCGTGTATTGTTATGAAAAGGAGGTTATAATGACCTATGAATCATAATGAATTAATGATCAATTAAACGAGGGGGTACTGATAAATGAAACATGCAGCCAAGTGACATCAATTACTCATAGGCACCATTCGGGAAACAAAAATTACGTTAAGCACAAACGTAGGTCAATAAGAAATTAAAAATTATTTAATAGAGGAGTAGAAACATTTAAAAGTCTAAGTTTAATTCTCACCCAATATTGCCACTAGGAAGAATATGGGAAGCAGAAGTAAGCTATTAGATTCAAAATCGTCCACACGAGAACCAAAAGCAAGCAGTCATCAGGAATCAATGTTATGTTTCCTTCACGAGTTATTCAGCCTTAGGGTGTTTCCGCATAAACTTTTACGTGCTGCTATTGATGCACGAATATTGCATTTTCAGATAGAATGGGCTAAGTAAAAAGTTACGTTTTTTCTCATAATCTGCGTAAATTAACGATGTTCGTCATTCAACTAGAACAATGATTTTATTTTAGAACATTTTTAGAATTGAACTAACTTCCTAATTGAATCAACGAAGCTTTCGAGTAAGAACTTTCTCAAGGAAATACCGTAATTGGTCACGATTAATCATCATTATTTCTTAAAATAATTCATAATAATATTCGCGTCAGTTGCTGCTACGAATTGAGTTATACGGTAATTTCTTAGAAGTAACCAAGATCACTTCTGATGAAGAAACGTGATGGCCTCGTAGACAGAGTGAAAATAGTAGGACGGTTTTTGCTAGCACTTCAGCTATTAAGCAATTTCGCAACGGAGGTCAAAAATAAACATCGTTAACAGGGCGGAATATCGTAATTCTTGGAAATTTCTCAAATCGTACATCACCCATAAGGGATGGAAGGTCTCAAGTTGCTAGGCCGCTGAAGCTGGCAAGAAAGAAGCAGCGCATTTGAAAGAGATGCTAACGTAACAAGGAGGAACAGATGAATAGCAAAAAGAACGAAAACACTCGTACAAGAGGTCCTTACACACACACAAGAGATCGGTTACTCGCACGAGAGACACAGGGAAGGGAAATGCAAGGAATCCTGCCCACATGGACACTTAACCCTCTACCGCCTGACATGAGTAACCGGAGCAATATTGTTACAAGCCTACTTCCCAAAAAGGAGACGTTCTAGTGAGCGCAAAATTACTTGCGCAGATTGTTGCCGACACGTACGACAACTTTAAAATGTTCTCTGTTGCGTACAAATGTCCTCAGGTTGCTACAATCAATAGTTTACGTATAATTTAAGTTGAAAGTTACGTTCACGGAGTCTGACATACGGCGGTAGAGGGTTAACAAACAACTTAAATAAGCAATCAGATACAGTGAGATTTGTGGTGGGGCGCTCAGGAACAATGCTAATCATTTCATGACAAAAACTAGGGTTCCTTACTTAGGGATAAATACGAGCATTACGAGGGCGGCAACAAGCTCTTTGACAAGATAGTGTTGCGACTCACATGAGCATCTCTCTCAGCCCGGGCCTGCTTCCTGGCCTCCTGCAGGGCCGAGTGCTGCCGACGCAGTTGTATGAGCAGCAGCACCAGCTCCTCGTGCGTCTTGTTCAACAGCTCGCCGGCACTGACGCCCGCCAGCCCGTTGCTGGTGCCGTCCCTCACCACGTCTGAGATGATCTTGCGACGACGCTCCTCCGCCTTCAGTTCTTCCTCCTCCTTCATAAGCATGTGCTGCTGGTGGACGCGCTCTTGCTGCACACACAGTCAAAAATTAAAAGTGGATCCTATTATTTACAGGGAAAATTTTTACTTCATTTCTATCGTACAAGTTCGTGAAGGCATAATAAATAGCATCGACGTTTATAAATTTAAGATAACGATTTTTCACAACTTTGGGCACTATTAATTCATCACAATAATAAAAATAACGATTATTTACAATTTCAACCTAAATGAGTCCCAAACAGAAGTCTCACCTCCATATATACAAGTTCTGGATCGCTGAGGTCTAAATTTCCTTTTCGGTAGAGGTGACCAAGTCCAGTCGCGTACGTTCCGTAGTCACCACGGGTTTTGTAGATGTCTTCTGGAGGATAATCTTTGTCGATATCGTAATTGTGATACTTGTTGAGCCTGTCCATACCTTCTATGCTCTGGCGCAGAGCAGTGGCTGACATGTAGGTATTTTGGTTGGCCTTATTGTGCCCATACACATGCACAGGACTGGTCTCGCTACTGTACGCGTTGTATTCGGAATAATGTGAGTGAGGTAAACTGTTTCCGTTGCCATAGCTTCTTCCCGGGTCGGTGAACTGTTCCTGGGACAAACGCCTGTAGAGGTTGTTGACGGTCTCTTGGTAGTTAGGTGGTTGTGGTGGCTGTTGGTGGTATGGTGACATGTTATCTGTCACGCCTCTATAACCAAGGTGTGACGAACTGGAGTAAATGTTAGCGCCCCGCTGGTATGCTTGGTTCTGGAGGTCGCTTGACTGCAGCGGCGGTTGGTATGTCTGGTTCTGAGTCAGGGGTTCATACATGGACCCTCCACAGTTCTGTGTCGAGTATTTGCCTCCGTAGGCTGAGTTCTCGTATGGCTCTAGTCGGTTGCTTCCCAACTTGCTCACATCTGGAGAATTTCAATAGTATTAATATTAGTGAGATACATCATGTCCCAGGTAAGCAGAAAAATTATCTTGCCATTAGCTGTTCATAAATTTCTACGAAAAAGTTAACGGCATAAAAAAAGTCGTCTCCGTAAATTTGGCAATTTCTCAATTTTTGAAGGCCTTTTCGTCGCCAATCAACACCTGAATTTCTTTTTCACGGCAGAAAATAAACTAGAAGTTATATATCAAAATATTTCCAATGCAAAACTTCAAGTGCATCATAGTCGCAGATTTTAAGACTCGATTGCAATCAAAACGCTGAATTAGATAAAATTCACATTAAAATAAATAAAATTGCACGCAATATTTTTCTTGGTAACCATGCAACATAAAAATATTCCATTCATCGAAATCGATCTTGTCACTCCTCTAACTTCGTCGCTGTAACTCCAGACACGAGAGCGCGGATAAATAAATACTTCATTAGGCCCTCTTTAATGATTTCTATCTTAATTTCGCATGCAGTTTGCCCCGCTGAGGGCCCGCATAGATAAGATTATAGTAAGATGTGACGCAGCGATGCCAGCTGGCGCGAGCAGCCTGTCTGCGATGAGCATGTCCCCTTTAACAGCACAGCTTCCTAGCCTGCAGCCGGCTCCTGCAGTTGGTATGCTTTTGCTAAGGATCATATGTGAGAGCAATGTTGTTGTTGCTTCGATGATGGTAAAGACATGGTCTGCCAGTCATATAATAACAGTTAAAATATTCTATGAACTTTCTAACTGCATTAGCTTTTGTTGATGTTACTGCCGGGTTATGTTTGATGGTTGTTATTTTTCCGCTGCAAAATTGTTATTAATGCTAAAGCTGTCACTGCACTTACGATTCACGTTTCAATGTTATTGTCAAACGACATTTTTTTGTTATGGTTAATGACGGTCACGTGCTTCCGCTTTGTGGAATCAATATTATAAATCGCTCATCTAAAGACGTTACGAACATATTTCCGTTTAATCTCAGCCACTAAGGAATTGTGTTCGATTATTTACAGATTATACCACTACCCATAATACTGTTCAAATAGATACCTCAGATTTTCCACTATCGCAACTGGTGAAACGGGAAGAGTGATCCCTGAACACTGCAACAGTAAAAATTGTTTGGAAAGTTTAGACACGATACTTCCAGATCGACAAGGCTGAGTTTAATGTCTACCGACCGCCAGCGCGCGGAGCCTGACGTTGCCAGCAACGAAACGCGGTAGAACGGAGGACGCCAGCGGACCCGAACGCTCGCGGTTGTCAGCGATAGAGCGCGACATGGGTGCTCATAGAATAGGTCGCTACGATTGAGAGGCATTAATCGTTGTCCACGGCCAGGCTCGGAAAATCTCACAATTCAGCATAAACTAGCATTTTTAGTAAGCGAATTTAACTTTTTTTAAGAGAGGAGAGAGGATGTGGGCCGCGGAGGGCTAGACATTTTTAAAGCAGCGAAATATCAGCAGTGGACAATTGTCAGTGACATCTCCGTACAAGGGAGACGGAGATATCTTTTTTTAAATGATGTGGAATTTTCATAGAGTCGCGGTTCACGATGAATAATGCCATTATAATATAGTTATGAGGAATTGACATTTCTTTTAACATTATTTTGGTTTCGAGTCACGCGGATTCGAAATGGTCGCAGCTAATTACTGAAGCAATCGAAAAATCATTCAAATATTAAAAACTTGTCATTTTTTAAAAAGCCAAGACAAAAAAAGACCATGAACTACTACACCGAAATTTCATACCATACGTGTCTTCAGTTCTAAATTTCCAAATAGACTTTACAATAAATAAATCCAGAAAATCCAGAATAAACAATAAATCCAGAAATGTTTTGTTTTATGCTTGTCATTTCAACGCGATTTTAGTCAGTATTGGTGCTACAGGCGCAGATTCCCCCTATAGCAGCACCTGCCCAACTCACTGGCCGGGCAAGTTGGACAATGGACAACATGATTACTGTGGTAGGTACCAATATAAAATGTTTTCACGTTTTTATTAATCGCAAATTAATACACACCGATAAATATCAACAAGAAGTCAACATAAGGTGTATCGATGCAAATGAGAATAGAGAACAATAGAACCTCATGTTTTGAACGCGGGCAACTCATTTTAGAAAAGATATTAGAGTTATAATGCGATTTAACACAAGATCTACATTGCAAAAAATAGTGAAGAACAAAAACTAAAAAGCAAACTGCTTAAAATTTTTTGAACCGTAATTAGCAAGTTTATACCCAAGTGATTGCTTATTTTTTAGTCAACAGAATCGAAGTTTGAAAGACAACATATGTAGACGAAGCTTGATACTCACCAGCGGCGTACGGGCGGTATCCAGCATACGGCGCCTGACACAACAAGCAGCACTTCGCCCCCATATTTAGATATTGTTCTCAACCTCAAACTTGTACAATTAAGTTTCAAGTGCAACAACTATGGAGGTTTTATGCCTCCGAGGTATAATATTGGTCACCATTAACCCAGCTTCAATACAATATACTAGAAGTCCCATTTAGTTAATTTCTAAATAAGGTAATTTTAGAAACTAAATTTCCACGAACTAATCCTTAAGCAGGTTATTTTTTATCGCCTGAACTCTCATTTATTCACTTCAACAGGATATTTGAAACGGTGTTGAAGTACGAAAATACGATTTTAATTACTGTACAATTTTCATGTACAAAAATGAAAATTGCAGTTGAATCCTACTTACAAAAAAATTATCGCAATGAGATCTCAGCAGAAGATTTAGTTAAGTTATAAAATAAATTTTCCACTGTAGGTTAGTTAGAACTAACTAATTTTGTAAGTCAGTTAGAATTAATATTTTATTTTCTATGTGAAACGAAAAAGGGAAAGGAAATGCATCATACCAGAATAAGAGATAAAGTCAAAAGTTCTTACAAAATAATATATTTTGTAACTCTTTACTTCGAACCAATTTTCTAGGTAAGTTTTTTGAAAATTTCCTAAATATCTTACATTAAATTGTTTTGATTCGCCTCAACAAGTGCTATGATTCGCGCAGTGTAGTTCAGTCCAGTAGAAATTTATTTCAAGCAATTGTCGCAACTAGCTTTTAGAAATAGCTCGATCATCGAGTGTGAAAGCATAAGGTTTGATTGTAATAATCATTGGCAGCCTCACACAATGTTTGCAGATAATACATTATCAAAAAATTAACGATTTTCAGAATGTAGACATTAAATAAACTGCCGCCAACCAACAACCCTTAAACATATAGGTAACCAAGCTACGTCAACGCGACGGTAGCAGAGGCCAGCGCCATGAAAATTGCGTTATACCTCGATCAAGAACTTGGAATTTTACTCGCCAATTGAGTACACAAGCGTTAGAATCAAACAGAAAAAATAACAACAGTCCCAACAGGATAGCGGTCATGGCTGCAATAATTATCATGTCGCAAATAACTTTCCGCACAAATATTTAGAAGCTGTAATGAAGTCTATCAATGGCGTAAACTATGTTCTGCATCAACAAGGACGTACAACACAATGGCCACCACAACAACGTTGACCACGCTGACAAGACCAAGCGTTTCACTGCGAGTTTCGGAAAATTGGACAATGTGTCAGAACAAAGGCACCGGTGGCACAAACTAGACGACACAAGCCTTATTTCGAAGCTAATTACTAGCGCTGTAGAATGTAGAGACACGTTCCGCCTACTATTGTCCATATAAGGGCTGTGTTCATGTGCTAATATCACGAGAAAATATGTACGGCCTATTGAGCGGCAAGCATTTCTACTAAATTAGAGCAGATAGACAAATCATTAATTATTCTAGTTAATTTGCGTGTGACTGGAATAAAAAGAAAATTTCATTAGACGAATGAATATTTATCCTTTTTGAAAAAAAAAACAGCTCTCACTTGGGATTTAATGCCAAAATTACTCGTATTCGCCAGAACAGAAAAGAAAAAATTATTACAAATCTTTCTTAATTTTCATCCCAGCTGGAATTTAATACAAGACTTACAAAAATTCGACGCAGGACGAGATGACTCGCGTGCTCCAATTGCAATTAAGGCCAGAATTTAATGAAGGGTGCGCATCAGCTCACCAACGATATTATACAGCGGAATTTAATGAAGCGTTGAGACCTAACAAAAATTGAGTAGGATTTGTCACCGGAATGAGTGTCACCGCATGAACTTAGTTGGCCAGGAGAGTGGTGACTATAACGCGCACTGTTTTCGCCGTCCTTCAACAACATAGGCAGCAGGAAGATTTTCACTGTCTGCACCACCGCTTCACATGGCAACGAATACCTCAAAAATAATCCATTCCAGTGCATGCTGTGAACCTTTGTTCGCTGAAGAACCTTTGTGAAAGTTGAGAATCAAAAAAGTTGGCAAACGCGAAAAATCTCGCAGTATTTTCGAATTATCAAGAGTTTGTTAATACGTAAAAAGACGCGGCATTAATACATATTCGCAGTGCTGGAAATGAAGTTTCAAATTTGAACGTAACTGCATTGCAAACTCGATTTGTGATGCTTATTATCCACAAAATATCTCACACATGTAATTCATTACCAATTGAAATAAAAATTTTATATCATCAAGTTTCGCAGAACGTATAAGCGCAGCTTTAGAGATACCTTCCCTAATGTTTCTCAGTTACACGGAGCGTCTTAATTAGGACTCTTCAGAATTTAGTCCCCGTTATATTAAAATGAATCGCGACTTAGGTTAAATTGACTGCGAATGACATTCTTGAACAGCAATGGGAATCCCGCGAGAATGCGGTCATAGCCCAATAAATAAACACGCGCTATATGTACGACAGGTCGCACTACAAAAGATACACGACACTGCCGTGACGGAACACGTCTTACCACAAGCGAGAAATTCAAGCCTTGCAACGAAGCCAGGAGATCCAGAACATGATAAGTCTTCTCTTGATTGCGCGTTGAATTTCAAAGTTGAATAAAAACTTCTTCGCTTTTAAATAACATGGCAAAAATCAAATGGAAAATTCGAATAAAGTGAGAAGATGCACTGTGATGCCAAATATGCAACCGTAATAACAATATATAAAATAAAAACGAAATGATAAAAAACGGCAATCACAAAAGTGCAAAATACTATAGCGTCCGCTTGCTTTGGCTGTCTGTGTGTCACTGATAGCTGTCGTATCCTACTCACATGAATGCAGGACGACCTCAATAAAAATGTTCGTTATTGTCTCATAATTGCCACATTAGATAGTAGAAAATTGCGAAGAATTTTTCCTCTACCATTTATCTATCAAATACCAACATCTAATACAATGGAAGTTTTCTAATCAATTTGCGAATCCAGGAGTACAGTGATTTGAGGGAATCACTCGAAGTATTGATTGTTTCGTATTTGAAATAAAATTAAATATAGTTCGGAACATAAACTAATTTGTCTTGGTGAATCTAATATTAAAACTTTTCGTCGTCGAAAAGTATCGTCGTATATTGTTTCGAAATATATTAGAAATTAATATTTTAGAAATTAATATATCATTTTCGCCACAAATAACAAACGACCAAAAATAAACTAAGCCGGTGAAGAAAAGTGAAAGTTCGCAACCCAGTATAAGTGGCACCGCCCCATTCTATGCAGCATTGACACACGGGTGTTTTACAAACAATTTATCGCAAATACAACGGTAATTTCTTACAAATGAAAGGTGGATTATTGAATTTTAAGATGCAACCCGAATTCTAACAGTGAATATAAGTCACACCTCACCATCAAGCGAATCCCCTATCACGCCCGCACGAGAGAAATCAATTAAGGAAGGGATCGTAGCCTCAAAGGATTGACGATTCGACCCTTTTATCCTTTTTATGAAGTGTAAAATTATATCATGGCGGAACCTGCTGTTCTCGACTACAAAAATTTAGCCCTTTGCAAACAAAATATAGGCAGGGGCAACATGGTAGCATAGCAATCAGGATAGTTACGGAAGAATCGATAGAGCAACAATCGATAGAGTTCAAGGTTTTGATCGTCATATTGAAAATTTGCATACATTTACCGTAAAGTCCAAGCAAGTAACTAAACTACATTTGCCTCATTACGAACAAAACTAAATAGAAAATATTGTATTGAATGAAACATCTATTGAAAATCATAGTTGTGGATCCAAATACTTTCGGGAAGACGGAAAAAAACTGTATTAAAAAATTAACACACAAATTTCTACATCTCAAATGCGACGAAACGCTACTAAGTACGGAAGGTGCCAGTAAGCATCATGTTTGTTAATTTATATCAGAAAATAGTCACGAATCCATTTCATGCCTGATACAACACATGGCACGCCACTCTATGCATATCAACGTATCAGAGCTCAAGAAATTTACGCCTCTCTTTGTATTGGCTGCCACCGACCTTGAATGGGCGAGAAAATGCTTCATAAACTCCATTATTTTCTATTCAGAAGGTGGAATATGAAAGAAATAGGTAAAAGATTTAAAATAAAAACCGTGAGCTAACGCTTGATAAGATGTACGAACGGAAATTAAGCCCTGAGGCCCCTGACTCTTTAAACCTACCTCAAAACTTTATCAGCCGGCCAGACGGCAATCGTATATGTATAAACATCGTGAGTTTTTTTACATGAAAAAAATCCTTTCTCAAAATCAACTTAGAGGAAGGTATTAATTTCAGCAATGCAACAAGTAAAAGCTGACGCGCCAATGTTAAGAAGAAGCAGTTCAATCATGGGGACGCATCATGAAATTCCTAGGAAAACTCAAGAAGTAAAGTCGTATACGGTCGCAATGTAAACAAGCAAGTTTAGGTCGGACGAAAGATGATCACCAGCCGAATGAAATTGTCTCAATAAAATACAGGCTCAAATTGCGAAATAAACACATAACTTGAACTGATAGGCAGAGCTGAAGTAAGGCAAGTACCGTTAGGATATATGTCATGATGAAGCTCATCACGCAAGCAGGTTTCGAAGCGCTGAACCGAACACGCTGCAGCTACAAAAGCAGCTGCGACATTCAGCAGAAGAGGCTCGCTGCTGGCGTATTGACCCAAGGCTAGTAAGTGACCCTGCTAAGTATTTCTCACGACTATCTTTCTGCAAAAAAATACCTCATCGCACTCTCGCTTCACAAAGTTTAAGCTTGTCAGGCCTATATTTCATTTCTCGAATTTGCAATTTTTAAAGGTTTGTCATTTTAATTTCGAATAGGTATTTTGATATAAATGATGTTTTTGCACGATTTGACAGCAATAGTGCATATTAATGTATAAACCGAAGTAAACAGTCTTACGCAGGCGCATAGAATATTTGCCGATGAATGGTTTATAATACATGGGCATCGCACCCATTCATAACGGTGCTCAGCAGCGGGGATTGAGAGCTACGCAGACGCACACCTCACCGCGGCCAAGTCGCTACTGACGGCAGCTGTCTGCACTCTGCTGTGGCTGCAGCTTCGCGTTTGGCGTTCCGCGACTTACGCATACCGAAAATGCATGCTGAAACTCACTTCTTAATTCCATTCAAGAATAAATAATTATTCCAAAAGATGAATCCCACCTCTTAAAAATTGGACTAACAGTATAGTACAATAACGTTGTTTTTTTTATCAAAAAAATCCTGATGACTTAGAAAATCAAGAATTGACACTGCGGGTGAAAAATCGGGAAATGGTAGGGGCAACTCATTTGTTCAAAAGTAAAATCAAATGAAACTAGTAGAAAATATTATAATGCATCAAGAGGGCACAGAAAACTTGCACGACGGAAGCACTCAATTTTGTTACCACAGTGAGCATAATTCGACTTTACAGAAAAATATCAGATTAAGAAAGAATAATTCCCCTGCACATGGAATAAAGAGTGCTAGTGAAAAATATTGAACATAAAATTCAAAATAAACTAAACACGCAGAGATGAGGAGTCCTAGAAGTGTACCGTGAATATCGCAAAGAAATGACAACCAAACATCACTCGAATATAAAGCAACCTAGACTGAAATTCATTAAAATCAAGCATAAAAAATAATAAAACAACTAGTAGTGTACAGAGCTGAAGCCACAATTGACGTGCAGACTGCATAATAAGGACGGGAGGTGAGCACTGAGGTGAGGTGCAGCCAAGTAATATTGTGTCACGGTGATCGTAAACTAGCTTATCATCAAGCAAACTAGAGAGAGCCACAAGATCAGATAAATTGGATCGTTTTCAGCTGCAAATTTAACGAAACTACGTGCTGTACAATTCAAAGTTTGTCACGGCAACGTTGGACAGTGTGCGCCTTCTTCTTCCACCCTCACGCACTCGTCATGCAGTCTGCAGTTATTTTGTGATACGGGGAACAAGTGATGAACTTACCTGCTTGATCAGGGTTGGTAGCGAGTCCTTCCCTGGCCAACTCAGATTCGCAGCTCTCTTGGTGCTCGGTTGAATTATTTGCGTAGGTACGTGAAACGTCTTCAAGGCGTTTCGCGTTATTACTAAGTATATTCGGCCTCTCATCCCTTTGTGATTGACTAATCTCTTCCTCTGTTCGATCGTTAAAGCCATCCGTTTTTGGTTGGATTGTTGACTTTTGATCGTAAGTTGTTATTTGGCTGCTCGAAGTAGGTGTTAAAGTCTGGACAGGATGATTTGTTTCGACTGTGTCCGTAGCTTGTTCGTCTAGGAGAGATGAGAGGCCTTCGTCTAAAAACTGATTGACGCTATTTACGTCGTTAACATCGCTTGCTGAGGAATCTAGAGGTTTGGTGAACTTTTCTTCCATGGGATCCCATTCGTAACCTTCCAGGTACGTCACACCACGACGCGTTCTCTCGAGTGTCTCATGAGCACCCGGGGGCTTGGGAATAGGATTTATTAAACCTTCACGATAATCGACTCGATACTCGTTCATGTTTTGTTGAGAACGCTTGTGTAAAGTTCCTCTGCGATCTTCGGTAACATCCGGAGGCACCTGCTCTGTAAATGAGGGCAATTCTGAGGGAAGGATAGGACCCCTTTTATTTTCATCCAAGGTTTCCAAAGATTTCGTGTGCCGAAGTGAAGCTCTCCTTAACTGGTTCCGCCACTCTTGATCGTCTTCCCAGTTGCTAGCAGCTTCTGTCGCTTCCAGAAAACTCATATCATGATTCAATTCACTGCCCATGTCTTGTTGGCGAGGCGATAATCGTCTAGGATCATTAGACGTTCGAGACTCAGCTCGACGCGCATCTCCAAAGATTGATGAGCGAGATGGGTTACTCTCTAAACGAGAAGTTTCTTTTTCGTGATAGCTAGTGTGAAACTTGGCCAGTTCTTGATTCGACTGATACGACAAATGACTAGTAACGCTTAAACATCTCTGCTGTACTTGCTTTTCTGGGTATACTTTCGACTCTGTTTCAACGGAGGGTAATGGTTCTTGGCTGCGAGAGTTGTTTTCATCCATTAGTCCCTCCAACGAACGGGTACGACGATGCACGTATTGAGAGGTAATGGGGTCGGCTTTAGAGAATAAAGTGGTAGAATAAATATTACGAGAATCCACTTCAAAGTTTGAGGTCTGACCACGCTTCAAAAGTTGAGAAACAATTTCAGTTTCAGGTGTTGTAACGAGATGGCCTGAATTCTTCTCAAATATTTGAGCAGAAGCTCTCAGTTCAGAAACAAGATTACGCTGATCTGAGATGGAGGACATTCCAATGTGGTTGACTTTCCTTCCGATGTCCTGGCGTTTATTGTGGTCCATGTCTCTTTGATTATTCAACTGACCTATTCGAGCTCTAGGGGAAACTGCTACTGGATGAACAGAATCAGGGGAATCTCTGATAACATCCGAGTAATAATACGGAGCAGATCTGGGACTCGTATCACTAGGGTTCGATGTCGTGGAGAGATCACGTACGTGTACATTCTTCTCACTCCGAGGAAGATTTTTACTGTAAGTATTAGAATGCTTAAAATCAGGACTCTCAGTTACATGATCTTTAGACTCAGTCATATCGTTGATATTTTTGTCGCCTAAAACCGACAAGTTGTTGGCACCCATCGCAGGGAAGTTTTGATACACCACTCCACTCCACTGCTGGTCATAATGAGACGCAATTTCTGTCTCCCTGTCAACAACGCGATCGATATTTCGAGGTGCTTCTTCGAATAAACCGTCCACTGGTTTGGAAACTTGACGCTGATTTTTGTTCGAGGTATTAGGAAGATTTCGAGGAGAGTCAAAACTGCGAACATGAGATTCGATCTTGCATGATGATCCAGAACGAGGAATAGCAGGATTTTCTAAATGGGGATTGTGTTTAGCAGGAGACGGCATCGTTTCAAACGAAACGTTACTGTTAGCTCGGCTGTGTTCATGATATCTTGAGTCTATTTCAGGGTAGGCAGCCGACACAGGATATTGATCTTCCGATCCTAGAATAAAACTATCAAAGTTTTGCGAGCCAAAATGCTCTTCAGAATAGGGTGTTTTAGAAAAGTTCGACATATCAGGACCAACAGGGTTAACAAAATTTGAAGATTCATGCATTATGTAATTGGCGGGAACAAATGTTGGTTGTTCTTCTTTCACGAGTCGTTTTCCTGAACGAGATGATCGTGAGGCATTGAGAGCATTTCGCAAATGAGGCGGTGGCTCTGGCGTAGCCAGATTATCATAATCAAGACCGACTTTCGAATCGTGGTCGAGTTCATCTAAAGGAGGCGGACTCGTGGGAATAGGAGGAGGCGAAACTAAATCGGAGTCAGAGGAGTCATGCCCTTCAGGATCACTGCTTGGTTCTGCTCCGTTCAGGTAATAAGAAGCTGGACGGAAAGTATCGGAAAGACTGAATCTTTTGTTCCTTGGAAAATCTATTGAATCCAAGTCTTTCGATGCTTCGTCGTCCGCGTCTGATGAGCGATCAGAAGGAATAGTCATAGCTGACCTCCCTTTTTTAGGATTAGAAGATGGAGCAACTGCAAACTTTGAATTTTTGTACTTATCGTCATAAGATACTTCGGGGGGGTCCGGTTTTTCTTCAAGAATACCAGCTGGTCGACAGCCAGGCAGCTCCATATAAATTGATTCATAATGAGAAGCTGCTCTGTAAATGTATTCATAATGCTGGGTCTCATCTTGGTCGCCTATCTCATAATACCGTGGACTCTCTACAGGCTGCGATGCGGCAAACTTGTTCGAATCACGTTGGTACGAAGTGGCTGGATTCTGGACAGGAGGAGCAAGGAGTTGGCGCTGGCCACGTTTAGGAACATCGCCATTCATCTCAATATAAGTGTGCTCTTCGAACTCACCAGCAGCATCAATTGGCACGTACGTCGACGGTTCTGGGGTCAGTTGATGCTTGCTACTCAAGCTGCTAGAGGAGCTCGCTGGAGCTGTGGCTCCAGATAACGGTTTCCTGGGTGGGCTCATGGGTAAGTAATTTTCCTCCGGAACAACAGGATAATGGCAGGCCGAATTTGTCATTGAGGCGTTCGTGGGCGGAAGAGGAGCATTTTCTGAAGGGGCGTCACCTAGAGAAGCTTCAGAATTAGCACGGCATTCCATCACATTATTCAGAGCACAAGGGTTATTAACGTACATTTGTTCTTCTATCTCTGCAGTTACTCTGTAATTACTCGGAGTACTTTTAGTGCGAGGAGGCTCCGCAGGAAGATATTCCCTGCGAGCTGGAGGAGAAGGATTAGTGTTCATTTCAACAGGTCCATGCCTTTCCTTTGTCCCATGAAGTAATAATTCCGCTTCAGTTCGACTTGGCGGCCCACAGTCAGAAAACATATGCATATTACTGTGAGGTTTCCTCTTCGGCAAATGGGTTTGATTGACTATTACTTTTTCTGGTTTTGGGTTCGTCTCAAAATTGTCCCGGATAACTTTCGCAACACGGTTTTGACCTCGACCTTCTCGCTCAAGCAACCTATTACAGTGGGCACTGGGAGATGTAGTCTTCGTAGCATTCTCTTCTTCGAATAAGAATCTTCGAAGATTGTTCCTGCTCAGCCTAGAAAAAACAATATCTTCGGGGCTTTTAGTGTCGTTGACCTCTTCAGGAAGAGAATGATCGGAAATTTTCCCATACTTCTGAACACTTTTAACCTGAGCCTCGTATGCCTTAACTACAGTGCTCTGAGATAAAGCAAACGTTGCATTAAGCGGAGAAACGAAATTTTCTGAATTGTCATCCGCAGGATTGACGTCCTCACATTTAGGCAGACGAGGCGGCGGATGCAAGAGAGAATCATCGACGCTTTTTCTCCTTGAATTAGCGCCCTTGGACAGTTCACTTTCTTCCATTCGGTTAAAAGCTTTTATTCGGTCCTGAACGAGCGTCCTTTGAGCAGCTTCTTGAGTTTCTCTAACAATTTTAGGACTTTCAAGGGACATGCTCGCTGCCGGACATGCATTTTGTCCTGGGGAATTGTTCGAATTCATACTACGCGAAGTATTCCCATCGGCATAAGAAGAATTGGGCTCAAAACCTCCATCGACTGAAAGAGTGTTGGAAAACTTACCCGGGCTCCATGTTTCTGGTCTCAAGGCTTTCTTCGGTCGAATATCTCTCATTTTAACGGGTGTTTCTTCACTCGCGATGAGCTGAGAATCATTAGAACCGTTGTTTATGTCTTTATCTCTTTGATCATTACGAGCGTTATGATCAGGGCGTAAAGTGTCATATCCGCTGTCTGAATATTTAGCGCAATGATCATCAACAGATCTCCTACATCGGTTGAATTTGACATCATTCGAAGGGGATAGGCAGTCTGTACTTGGACTAAGCAAGGTCGAAGAGGAAACAGGAATAAATTTTTCATCGTGAAACCCGGATGCAGTAAGAGCTCCAGCATCAGTATTCAGGTCATCCGAATTGGTCAATAAAAGTATCTCCCTCTCAAGGCTAGAATTGTTGTCAGTGTACACAGCTGTCTCCTGACTACTGTTAAGACACGAATTCTTCACTTCATTTCCGAGATTATCAATAAATATAGGCTCCGCACGAAGACTTGGAGGAACTACTTTATGAGTGTCACCTGACTGACTGTTCGAGTTACCCATCGCCGAGAAGTTCACATAATCAGGTGAGGAAATTCCAACTTTGACCTTTCTCGAGGGCCTTCTGGAAACTTCAGGTTTAGATGACGTGTCTGTTTTCCGTACGTTGATGATTTCCGAAGACGAACTACGACGGGAATTTCGACGAGTTTTTCTTCTTGATCCGCGATCTTCAACATGATCTGTGACCAGAGGAGCATCACGGTGCATCAAACAGTGGTCATTCTGGTTAAGATATTTCTAGTTTATTGTGTAAAAGATGGAGATGGTGAGAATATTTTAGTCGGTCGGTCAGTCAGTTCGTGTAAGTAAGAGTGGTGGCAAGCATTAACATTTTTTTAGACGAGAACGATCTTTTAAATTACATTCAACAGAAATGCAATCACATAGCAAGGTTTGAGTTAACTGGCTGGTGTACCGAAAATTCGTATCAAAATAAAGTTCTCGGGATTGGTTGGTTGTGGAGAACAAAGCAACATGCAGGCTTCTTTAAAGAAAACACATTAGGGATGGGAGAATTAGCAGGTTGCTTTGTGTAAGTGACAGCGTTGTCGTAGATAGGTACGTAAAAATGTCGGTATAAAATGATTCACGAATGAAAGAGGTGAACATTATTGAAAATAAAAGGTTTTCAGCACCTAAGCATATCTTACGCTAATAGGTGCTCATGAAGTGATTACTGAATGATTAGAATAACGTGAAAAATCTACACATAAGTGGGTATTTTTAATCATTCCGTAATACGGAGAAGAGGAAATCGATCAGTTAAAAGCAAATAAAAATATAAAATGAACAGAAACTTTAGACGAAGCAGTAAAATCAGTAAGAAATAAGGTATGTATAAAAAATTACAATATGAGAAGGAAGACTCCCCTGCAGATGAATTTAAACCAAGCCCCGTAAACTTACAAAATTAAAAACATGTTGTGATTGCACTCATTGCAAACGGGGAACCGAAAGCAGTGGAAAACATTTTGAACTTGAAATACATTTAATTCGCACTCAATGAAAAATTTGGGAACAGCTAGAAAAAAAACAATTACATATACAAATAATGTGACTTGAAAACTACAAAACAACTATCGCAAAAATCGAACAGAGTGCAAACGGCAGTGCAATGCAGATGGATTTGCAGTCAGAAATGGGGCTACTCAACATCACAAATAGAGCGAAATGTAAGCTCTCCCCTAATCGAGGTGCATTTTATACAACATTACATACCATTTTCATCAGAAGAGTAGCTGGCGCAACGAGACGACGACACTGAACGCCTCGCTTCCTTCTCCTTACGTCGGCTGCTGCTGTCTCTTGTCTCGTCTCTCCTCCGGGTACTGGTTTTGAGACAGTCTCGCGAGTCCTCGTGCTTGCAGGTGTGTAAATGGGCGTGAGACTCGTCTCGTACTCGTCTACAGCTGCTACAGGCAGTTTTCTCGAGGCTCCCTCTGGCACCATGATCTCGAGACTCGCACGCAGGATCCTTGGATCCCACAGGACTCGGTCTACAGGGCACTCTAGACCCACTACAATGTACGGCAAAGGCACAGGAGTGACCAACCGTACCATCAATCCCGGCATCGTTCCGAGAATGACTTTTGTGACTGTTTACGTGCTGACGCAGAGTGCATTGAGGACTCGAACATCCGGGACCTTCACGAACTTGATTAGTATTTCCAGTGTGATTATGGGTGCCACCGTGACCACGATGATGAGTAACACCATCATCGCTTCCAGTGTGGTTGTGGGTACCACCGTGACCACGATGATGAGTAACACCATCATCACTTCCAGTGTGATTGTGGGTGCCACCGTGACCACGGTGATGAGTAACACCTTCATCACTTCCACTGTGTAGGACATCACCTCGAATGACGTGGAGTTTAAGGCGCCGTCTGGAGTCTTGGAGCGTCGGGCGCTAGCGAAGGCCCCCACAGCTGGGGACGGGCACGCAGACCGCGGCGAGTTCTTCTTCGTGAGCGGCGACTGCAGCATCCGCTGCTTCCACTCCAGCAGTCTCTTCATCGACTCCTCTCTCTGTGCAATATATGGCTACATCAGCAATAAAGTCTCAAAATAATTGCAATATATGGCTTTATCACCAATAAAGATTCACAATAAGTGCAATATATGGCTTTATCAGCAATAAAGACTCACAATAAGTGCAATACATGGCTATGTCAGCAATAAAATCTCAAAATAAGAGAATAATACATAGGCTATAGATAAGAATAGCACTAAAAGCGGCTAATGTTTCGATAGAAAAAAGGTTAACGGAGGAGAGCAATACAAGAAATTCGTGTACTATACAACAGAAATTGTTCAACTACTCACCAAATAAAGTTTCTTATCATCCAGTTCTTCAAATTCTTGCGCAAATGAAGAACTGAGAGAATCATCTCTACGGTCACCTACTAGCTTGGCCGAAGTGGAGCCCGAGAACGAAGTATCGGCACAACTTGCGTTCAACGCATCGTTGTTGCTGCATTGCGACAAGTTGTGTTCCTCTGCGGCCGTCGGCAACGAGGAATTTTTGCACGTTACATCGTTCCGCGCTCCATTATCTTCTCGAATATTGGAGGAAAATAAGGTTAGTTTTTCCCTCAATTCCGGGACAGTTCGCCGATGGTTAATGGTGTAAAGGTCAGGCGTGGTGGCGCCTGCGGGAGGGATTCTGGCTCCGATTGACGAGGCACTTCGGCCATGAGAAGACAGCGCCAGATTCTTGGAATGATAAATTGAGGATTGTCGCATTTTTTGAGCGTAGTTCTCTTCAGACCAATAATCAATTTCCTCCCCCATAGAAGACTGACTTCGCATGCGAGAGAGGGATTGTGTTTCATGATCATTCGCAAAACCTGAATCGTACGACATCCTGGTCCTTTGGTAGTCCAAAATATCAGCACTCTGAGGGCGAACCACTCTACGTGAATTGCTTTCTATTACTTTGAACGAATCTAGCTCAGCGAAGTCATCGGATACTTTAGACGAATTGTGTGTGTTGTCGAAATCCTGAGCATCTGCCCGAACTTCTTTACTTGTGGTGTTTTTCTCAATCAAGTCGTGCATTTCTTCATACTCGTGACTGGAAGACGCAGTAGCACCATACACATCAGGAGTACGTCTCTCAGTAGAGGATGTGTTCAGCAAGAAAACTTTACCGCTTAGGTTAGATGACGAGGCTTGACCAGTTGACCGACGGTCTTCTTGTGAACTGCTGACAAGATCAGGGGAAGAACTATGATCGGTGAAGACATTCTGACGCTTTGGTTTGGGTGGGGCATTGGCATACACAGGCTGAGGACGACGCATGCACGAGCTTCGGATAGCATTTACTTTGTTCTCTGGAACTTCGCTTCGACTTGCATTGTAAGCCTGAAAATACAGACGGAATATTGAAAAAACATTTATGGTAAAATTAATAGCAAAAACTTTAATTGGAGTAATTAAGCTCTCTGTCATCACAATCGATTTCTATTCATACTGACGTGCTTAATGGCCCCTTTCTCCCTGCTCTCTGATCAAGAAATCATGTCTTGATAGGGTAGGTATTTCGGTAGTGTATTTATTTTATAATATTAGAAAACATTCAAGCTTGAAAAATGACCCCTTACTGCCACATATGTAATTTTACATGAAAAACATTAATTTGCATAGAGAAATTAATTCTATTTCAACTTCAATGTTCAATATTTTTTAATTTCTCGATAAAATTTCATAGATGCCATAAATTTGTAGTTCTCAGAATTTTCCATACTTTATGCTCCAATCATCAAAAAACAACGCATCTTAAAATTTTCATAAAAACAAACAAACGGTTTAAGGTAAATGACAAATAAAAGTGAATTTATTAACCATAAACTTATATAAAATCGTTGGAAATGGCCTGGGTATTCATGCCATGATAATTAAAAAGTGGTAATTTTTAAGAACAAACTACAAGGAGACCTATCATGAATTTTCATAGTAGAATGCCGGCAAGAATATTTTCAAATTGATTCGATTGAATCCAACCAAACCAAAGAGAGTAATTTTAGCCATCATCGGCAAAAAATCAGACAAGACTGTAATTTACACCAAAATGTACCTACGTTTCCAAAAAAAACCAATAACTTACGTCTCAGCTACTTTTCGATACCCCAGTTGTGGCAGAGCATAATTCAAGGCAAGTCTTTGAAAATACAACAGGCCATTCAATCTTGGAGAAGGGATCGTCAAGGTGATGAAGCGCTCACAAAACAAACCCTGTGCTAATCAAAATCAAAGTTTCTCGGCTAAGATGACAAAACTGAACCTAATTCGTGAATCCACAAACCTGATCTGACCAATTATAGGACTGGATTGAAGGTTCACTAGTTAAACTGGTGTCCAGGAAACTATTCTTAACGTTGTCAGCTGATGTGAAAATCGGGGTTGCAACGGCCTCTCTTCGTGGAGTTTGTACTTGAGGCAATTGAGACGGAGAATTTTCTGGAGTTATTTGTGATCGTTTGATGGAATCGTTAGAGGAGGCATTGGGAGCGTGAGTGGACGAAGAAGAGCGATTGAGACGGTCCGATGAATAGCTTCGATCCAGAAACGAATGATTCAAAAACGATTGATTGTTTGAATGAGAAATGTCGTTAATAGGTTGATGATCTAACAAATGATTCGAATCATGTACCAAATTATTGGTAGCTCGAACTTGCGGTTGGCGATGCGACTGATTTTTTAAATGTGGGGAACGAGGACGATGAGGTACTGCCTTCAACTCGGGACTGGGCGGTAACAGCTGCGGTGCATCTGACTGTAAAGTGGCGCTGCGATAGTGGCACTGATATGGAGCCGCCGTCGGATGGGTCCGTTGATTTGGACTTGGCACTAACTTCGGTACAGCATTCGAATGTATCAGCTTCTGTTCCTGATGTTTTGGGTTGAGACCGATCCCCTGCAAATGTGAATTTGTTTTATTTGTCTGTTGTTGAGTGCTTGGGCTCAGCTTCTGTTCGTGAGAAATAGTGGCAAACGTCGGAGTCTCGACACTCGAAATGAACGACAGCTGAGAACTAGGATGCTGTTGAAGGCTTGGGCTTCTATTCTGAAGATGTTCGGCGGTCAAATTCAGGCGGTTGTCAGCACTCAAAAGCAACTGCGAGCATTGCTCCGCCTCCAGGGGATGAGAGGTATTTTCAACTAAAAATCGTTGTTGCAATTGTTGTGCGCTAGAAATGGAAAGTTGTTGTTGCAAGTTAGGATTACAAGAGGGTAGACGTGAGCTGTTGTGATATGAGATGGCGCTATTTGGCTGCTGTAAAATTTGATTAAATGACTTGTGCAAAATTTGATCACAGGATTGAGAGGAATTTGAACCAGATGAATGATATAAATTTGGAGTAAATGGCTGTAAGCAAGTTGAACTAAATGGTTGTTGGGAATTTGGATCGTATGGTTGATGAGAATCTTGAGCAAATGGCTGTTGGGAATTATGATCGAACGAAATATGGCTATTAGGTTCAACTGGTTGTTGGTAATTTATCGCAAAAGACTGTAGGCCATCCGAAGTAAATGACTGTTGACAATTTCGATCAAATGACTGATGCAAAATTGGATAATGAGAGTGTTTGGAATTAGAACCATAGGACTGCTGGAAACTTGGATCAAATAGCTGTGCGGTATTCGGCCCAAATGTCTGTTGGGAATTCGGATCAAAGGACTGCTGCTGTCTAAAAACCTGTGATAATTGGGAATCGCTATAACCAATTTGATGTCTATTGGTGTCGTCGATAATATATTTGTTCGTTTGTGCATTCGTGTAATTAAGGTTATCGTGAAGTTGCACCAAGCGTTGATGTGGGAGTTCAGGTCGCGTGAACCGTCGTAAGGGGCTCGGTTGGGTAGGGCTGCGGACGTAAGTTCGTAGAATTTTGTTGGGCTGATTATGTGGAGGCGGTGGCGAAAATTCGTTATTGTTTGCGTTCCCACCCCACGCTGGAGAGATGGACAGACTGCTTGATGAACCTGGAGGGTGAAGTCGTCCGTCTTCGTTCTCTTTCACTCTGAAAAGTTATTAAACTATTAACTTCCATTTAGTGTTAAGAAAAACGAATTAGAGTGAGAAACTGATTAAAAAAATGAGATATTCAGCGGCAAAATTTTCACTTCCGCTTAAACTGAGGTAAAACCACATCTGTTCTCTTCTTTCTCGTCTTCTTAACTGAAATGCTGGTCAATATATTTCATTAATTAATCGAGTAAGTAGCTGCCATATTGATGTAGGTGTAGGTTATATTTCCAGCTGGAAAATGTCCCGAATAAAAATTATTTGATTAGCAAATGAGCTTCAACTGCATGTCATGGTAGCGGTTGTGAGGTCGGAAGAGCACGCAACGAAGGATTGGCAGCGCCGACGAGAAAGTTCGGGCATCAACGGCTGCTATTCTACATATTCCCAATAAATACAAGCTAAGCTCGTGGCGCGATGAATGCGGGCGGCGCTGCACTACTTTGGGTTCCGTTCCGCCGATTCTGAATTTGCGTGCCATCAAAAAATCAATCTATGATCTAAGGCTTACATGAATAAACACGATTATCGAGCAATGGGCATTGTGCAACCAACATATGTCACGGAACTTTACTCTTAGCAGTCATCCAAAATACCGATTGTATGAACTATAAGAGAAAATGATTTATATGATGATTTGAACAACTTAAAACTTAATCCTGACTCGAATCCCATCAAATTTTGTTAGTTTCCTAAACTTGCGCATATTGAAAAATTGAATATTCAAAAAATACTTCCCATTACGCGTATTAAATGCCAAATTCATACATAGACAAGAAAAATTTTAGATATGTAAACCAATGCTGAAGCACGGTATTGAATAAATATATATAATTGATTGCTAAACACAAATTTGCACTTATGCCATATTTCGTACTTCTATTTAAAAAGATGGTAAAAAAGTCTTCCAACTATCAATTAAAGCAATTTGAATATTAAAGGTCATCCAGGAATAATACGGTAATTTGTGTAAGCATTTACGAAACATCAAAGGTTAAGTTGGCGCGCCTGTTTTGCCGAGAAATGCCTGAGAAGAAGCAAGCATCGAAAACACAATCAATGACCGTCAACAAAGAAAGACCTCCTGCGGTTAACCAAACGAGCCCACAAGAAAAGAGGATTTCGTGAGGCGCAGCCTACGACTGATCTTTTTGCTGGAACGCTTGTCCAGATTTTAGGAAACACTGATTCTAGCAAAAAAAAACATATTCACGCAATTTAAATGGGAGAAAACAGGCAATTCCTGGCGAACTTTCTTAAACGTGAAGGTATGATGTTTCAGGGTTGAAAAAACTCCCCGGATATTGTGCAAATGTTATGGTCAGAGGTCAATGCGAAAGGGCATCCCACACCCACACCACAAGCAACGCTGCACTCGTATAGAGTGTCTCGCTTGCAGTCGACTGGACTCCAGTCCAGTTCACAACGGTAAATTTCAGTTCACAATCTAATCTAATTAGGCTAATTTGCAAAATTCAGTGTAAAAAGAAAACTTTCAGTTTTTTTTGCAATTGCAAAATTCAGTGTAAAAAGAAAACTTTCACAGTTTTTTGCAATTACAAAATTCGGTGTAAAAAGAAAACTTTCAGGTTTTTGCAATTGCAAAATTCAGTGTAAAAATAAAACTTTCACAGTTTTTTTAGCGAACATATATAAGTTTGTTTCCTCGGTAAGTGCTCTATTCGCGTACACTAAAGTTGCGGATCCATTGAGCACAAATGAGTTGAAATCCTAGAAAATGTATAAATCGGAAATATAGTTTTGTAATATTATAAAAAAAATATATCTTTGATGCTCCGTCCAGACAGCCGCGAGAAAATCGGGTTCAGTCATTAATTAAGCATTATTTTATAAGCAATGTATGTGATGTAGACTTATTGAGACCTGAAAACATGTTAGGAAGTATCTATGAAACACTAGCAAGAACAATCATAAACTTGAAAGCCTTTCTGCGCATAAATTCGATTGACATAATATTCTTATCAAGGTTTAAATACATGGATACAAAGTTCACGATGACACCAATTGCGAGCCAATTTTTATACTTATAGGTATTTATTGAACAAAAGTTTCACAGATAAAAACGAAATTAGGCAAAAATCTATGTAAAATCGTCACAGATAATTATCATGAAATGAGCGCAAGAAGCGTATAAAGTTACATGAGACCGATATCACAAGAACTGCATTGCCGCAAGAACAGTCGCACACCTGCTTATTTGTCCAGCGACCGCCAACCGACGCTCTGTGTAACAGCGATAACGGGATAAATCACAGTACATAAAATATTCTCTCCAACCGATTGATACCTTGTCTCCCTCTCCCATACAACACCCACCGTCAGTGACACATTAGTCGCCACTCAGCTGAGTACAAGTGACACTTACCCCGCCGCGCGTCACTAAAAAGTGTTTAATACTTTACAGAACTATGATTTGCAGGGTTGGATTACATGATACATGATAAGTATGAGGCTAATCAGATCTCGCAAGGAAGTTGTGGTTCACTCTTGATTACATAATAGATCGTTTCTATTGAACGCAGGCCACATAAGTTTGTTGCGACGTAAGCGGCACTGACAATACAGATTGTTCTTCGCATAGTATCAAAAAGTTGTTCAAGACGCCAAGAAAAAAAATATTCCAGGAACAACGAAAAATAAAGGTTTTCGGAATATAAGTAGGTAGCTAGCACAGGAATTATTATTATTATTCTACGAAGGAATTATCGTGGCGTCTGGTTCAAACGAACCAAACACCAGGAACCACGCAAGCAATATCTTTAACGTAAATGCCTGTTAATTGGCCACAACAATTATGTCGACGGCCTCTAATAAAATGATCTATTCCGTGAACAAAATTGAACCGCAAGTTTTTTGACAAGATCCAAACAGCTTCGTACTTAAAACAAGGTTACCGGATAGGTAAATTGGTATATCAAATGGGGTTTTATTTTATTTTTTTTTTTTTTTTGAGCGGTGAGTAGAGTGCAGTATCTGCTCGTGCAAAATTCAGTGTAAAAAGAAAACTTTCAGTTTTTTTTGCAAACATATATATTAGTTTGTTTCCTCGGTAAGTGATCTATTCGCGCACACTAAAGTTTCGGATCCATTGAGCACAAATGAGTTGAAATCCTAGAAAATGTATAAATCGGAAATATAGTTTTGTAATATTATAAAAAAAATATATCTTTGATGCTCCGTCCAGACAGCCGCGAGAAAATCGGGTTCAGTCCTTAATGAACGAATTCTTTAATAAGCAATGTATGTAATGTAGACAGATAGGAACCTGAAAACATGTTAGACTGTATCTATGAAACACTAGCAAGAACAATCATAAACTTGATGGCCTTTCTGCGCATAAATTCGATTGACATAATATTCTTATCAAGGTTTAAATACATGGATACAAAGTTCACGATGACACCAATTGCGAGCCAATTTTTATACTTATAGGTATTTATTGAACAAAAGTTTCACAGATAAAAACGAAATTAGGCAAAAATCTATGTAAAATCGTCACAGATAATTATCATGAAATGAGCGCAAGAAGCGTATAAAGTTACAAGAGACCGATATCACAAGAACTGCATTGCCGCAAGAACAGTCGCACACCTGCTTATTTGTCCAGCGACCGCCAACCGACGCTCTGTGTAACAGCGTTAACGGGATAAATCACAGTACATAAAATATTCTCTCCAACCGATTGATACCTTGTCTCCCTCTCCCATACAACACCCACCGTCAGTGACACATTAGTCGCCACTCAGCTGAGTACAAGTGACACTTACCCCGCCGCGCGTCACTAAAAAGTGTTTAATACTTTACAGAACTATGATTTGCAGGGTTGGATTACCACATGCTAAGTATGAAGCTAAGCAGATCTCGCATGAAAGTTGTGGTTCACTCTTGATTACATAGTAGCTTGTTTCTATTGAACGCAGGCGACATAAGTTTGTTGCGACGTAAGCGGCACTGACAATACAGATTGTTCTTCGCACAGTATCAAAAAGTTGTTCAAGACGCCAAGAAAAAAAAAATATATTCCAGGAACAACGAAAAATAGAGGTTTTCGGAATATAAGTAGCACAGGAATTATTATTATTCTATGAAGCAATTTTCGTGGCGCCCGGTTCAAACGAACCAAACGCCAGGAACCAAGCAAGCAATATCTCTAACGTAAATGCCTGTTAATTGGCCACAACAATTATGTCGACGGCCTCTAATAAAATGATCTATTCCCTGAACAAAATTGAACCGCAAGTTTTTTTGACAAGATCCAAACAGCTTCGTACTTATAACAAGGTTACCGGATAGGTAAATTGGTATATCAAATGGGGTTTTATTTTTTTGAGCGGTGAGTAGAGTGCAGTATCTGCTCGGATGGATCGTAGCATCGCAGGCCCATGTGTCATTGACTGTTGTTGATTTGATTCTGAGTTAGTAAAAATTTGTGGTCTTTGAACGCGCTCAATAAAATATAAACCTGAAATACGTTAACATACACCGTTTCCAGGCCCGAGAAAACCATAAAGTCTTTAAAACCTAGAGAACGAGAAATAAAAGGTTTCAGTCAGACTTTTAACAAAGCCCCGTTGCTCTTTCGAAACACCCAAGTGCCAGGAAGAGCCAAAACTTGCAACAGAACCTAACGAGCGGCAGCTAAATTGACTACCCACCCGCTTAAGACGACCAGCACTCTCCCTTTTTTTCTAATCGTAAATCAAAACTTGAGCTACTCAAGTATATCAGCAACAATACAACAATAATTTACTCAATACTCTTATTCGGACTCTCTAGTAAATAGCAATACAAATTAGCAGTGAATAGTGTATTTTAAAATGAACGAAGAACTTGAGGGTGAAAACATACCTTCACTCCGCATCTCGGTCCACCTATAAGTGCTCCAAGATTCTTTCCAAGCGTACGTTCGGCAAAAAATGTCGTGAAAACACATTAAATTACATTTATTCACACTGTTTCTCTTACTACACTGTAGTTATATTCACTTATGTTTTTATATGTGCCCACAATTTACAAGTCCTGTTACACAGAAACAAAGAGAGACGCGACTCGTCTGAGAGCGTGAACGAGTGCCTTCACTTCGCCATTGCTAGGAGCCAACTGAAAAAAAATCCAGCAGCTCTACCTGCACGTTGCCACCACACTCCAAGTTCCATTCCTTCGAGCCACTGGAAATGCCTACCAACTGACATAGTCCACCCTCAAGCAAAAGAATTTCTGCCAATCCTCAAATTTATAAGTGTTGAAATTGAAACACATATGAACACATGAATGATATACTTATTAGATGTAATGAAGTCACAAGACTGTGGAGTTTCACCTCGGCGATAGCTCCCCAAGTCCGGTTGTAAAGGCTAGCTCACCACAGGTGTCAGGCTAGTACAAGTTTGTTCGTGTGTTGGTGTGGGTGAGGTGAGCGTGCATGTCGGTTGGCGTGCGTGTGTACGAAGCGATATAGACCAACGGCCATGTCATTGCGTACACCGGCCGACGCTGGGATGTTCCAAAGAAAACGCTCCTTGCCATGAAAGACTAAATGGGCTCGGGACGAAGAGCTTCAACACCGTAAGGGGCTTCGTGGTGCTTCTTAATAAGGACATCATAGCCTCACCAAGCAGCATTCATAGCTTAATCAGGCATAGACCTTGGCTGATGACACGTAAGGGTGAGATCAGAGCTGAACGAGTGAGAACACTTCAAGCCAAAATACGACCCAACGTTTCTCTGACAATGGAAGTCATTGTCTACTATCTAACTGGTCGGGTAAAAATGCATCCACGCAAAAAATTGCATACAAAATAAATCAATTGAACGAAAGGCAATAACTGTGATTTTCGGGGATTAATTATTGCAGCAATGTGACAATAAATATATTAAACATAAATAATTATGTAGATAAGAATATCGTTTTTAAATATTATTTCGTATAGAAACAATTCACAAAAATTATATCTGTTAAGTTGGATATTAAATTAAATTTAAGCGATACTCCTCGTTCTCAGCATCAATAATTCCAATTAGAAGTTGTATTTGGATGTTAGGAGTGGGAGTCCAAGATGAATTAACAATTTATTTTTGTTTTAGGAAGTGAAGGATCTCATTAAATATCAATACAAGATAATATACAAGTTTATCGGAAGTCAGGTTAGACGCAGCGCAAGCTGGTCAGCAAAATACTTTTATACTCGTAAAGTGTCATTCAAGTTCAATTGTGAATCAAGAATCAGAAATGAAATGAAAATACGTGGAAAAGCGACCGTAAAAAGCTATTCTAGTGCACGTGGTTTCTCGATAAGCCGAAATTTTTTCCAATAAACTGTTAATCAGAATTGGCTCAAGAAGATTTTCAGGAATAGAAAACTTATTTTCAACATTGCAAACAGCCAGGGCTGTCCACTTGTCTAGTCATCGGGCTAATGGGAGACATGGGATTCGAGTACTGAAATTGTTGAAATTAACCAAGAATTTTAACATGATCCAGTGACGAGTTGAAAGTCATTGCGAGCAAAGTATTCACACCATAGTTCAAAGACGCTAGGCGTCGCATCTCAAAGCTGTCGCATAACTCATAATGAGCACTAGAAGTATTACGCAAATACTAAGCTATGCAGCGCATGAGAGGTTTTCGTGGGAGGAGGGCAGCAGCTAGTAAGAGCACCAGCAGCGGCAGCAGCAGCACAAGCAGCAGCAGCGGCCGCAGCAGCAGCAGCAGCAGCAGCTAGAGAAGCAGCAGCAGTGGAGTGAGGGGTAGAGGCGGCGTAGCATGCCAGGGATGTATTAATCCACAGCCATAAAAGAAACGTCAAATTTTAATGAACTCTCATAATCTACTTAGATAAGATATTCGAACTGGCCATGTGGAGATCATAGCCTCATAGAGGTCGGCATGAATGGGCACTTTTTGCTGGATCCGGCATCGGCACTTGACACAAATTTCTGATTCCCTGTTCGAAATTTAATCCGGAATACTACCTGGATCATATATGTCAATTTTAATCTCAATGGTAAAATAATGACATATAGCTGAACTGAGTTGGATTGATAAGAAATTTTTCATTTACTTTACAAAGTAAATTTACAAATTTACTTTACATTTTACAAATTTTTTTTACTTTCATTTACCAAAGTTCGATACGAATAAAAACCTTGAGTTGCTTGAACTTTTCAACAGAATTGGGTGTTTTGAGCATAGGAAATCTAGAAAGACGATTTAAGCGACAGATTCTCGAGTTTCAGGGTTAATCTAACCAAAATTATAATATTTATTACCACAATCGTTTTTAGCTTTATTCACTCGCGTAGCAGTCAAACCATGAATACCAAATTACGACAGATCAGTTGGTTGTATTTTCTGTTGAAAATATCATTTTCATTGAGGTCTAATCATGTTTATAAATTGATAAATAAGAGGAAAAAAGTGTTAGTTGCCGCATGCTTGCATTTATTGAATACACTGGTGAGCGGTTGAAAATTCAAAGTATACACGTATACTGTCGTATAGTGTAGAATCGGCACAGATTAAAAAGAAAAATTTACATAAATGATAAATTTTTAATAGGGAAATCGCAAATTTTCACTTTTAATACAAAACACCGAGCAAAGACTGTGTTTTTAATTCTTAATAATATGAATTATTTTCCAGTTGATACTTTTACATTAAAATGTATAATCTCCATCTTTTTCTAAAGAACACTCTCCGCTTTTTTACACAGAATAAATAAGGTATAAAAGTGACTAGCTTGTTAGAATTACTCGGAATATTAGTTGCACGATGGCCACTACAAGAATGACACGGATTCGCATCCGAAAGTTCCAAAGTAACATCGTTATGAGATGAGCACGAATATAAGAAATGACTGTGGAGCGCAATACAAAATTACGGTACACGAGCCACAGCAATGAGCTACAAGTCACGCGAGCAGCGCACGACATTAAAAGTCAAAAGACAACACCGATCAAACAGCATGACGACTTTCTGCAGAAATGGTATCAGGGAAGTGCTAAAATGCATCCATAGCGGAATTTTTCAAGCGATGTGAACCGCGGGCAGCCCGCATGTTACCAGCTGCATCATTAATAATAATAATAATCCATTGATAGCCTCAGTCCCAGAGTGTCCCACCCGTTGGTCGGCCATGCTCCTCTCATCGGACGTCAGAAATTGGCGGTTTATTGTGCTATGCGCAGATATTGTGAGCATAAAATATTTTCTGAACAATAACCATTATTAATGCTTATTTAAAATCTTAATACAAAAACATGCATCGTGTTCAAAATACGTATGCCTTTCAACATCCTTACCTTGATATTATATATGAACGTTATGTAATGTGGCAGAAACTTATGTTATGTCCGTGCACGTTTAATCACAACTCGTTCTTTGTTTTGATAAATAAATATATTATCTCACCTCACATCTGCGTTCATGTCAGCGGAAGACCTCGTGGCGCTGATCTTTTCAACACCAAGACCAGCGGATCCTATAGCACGAAGTCTACGATGGCAGTCGCGATGAGGTCTTCAGTTAATCCGACGGCAAGCTGGCCCTGCATTGCGGTCTCTGCTTCGATGTGACTGCAGCGCAAAATACACGACTGGAAACTCATCGTCGTGACCCCATTTTCATCTGCCAAACACAGACACATTCATGGTTAATTTTAATCGTATTAAGGTGAAAGATGCTTTCGTAAAAATTAAGATTTAATTCGGCCTATGCAAGCTTCTGGAAAAATAGATTACATTTTGTAAAAGTCAAAGTTAATAATAAAATTTCAAAGGGTCTCTTGCAAATTTAAAAACTTGCAATTGTACTTCAAAATCATTGATTGGTAATCAATGATGTCGAACCTCTTTTTTTCACATGAAATCAAAAGCTCAAGTAAGAATTTAACAAAATAAAAAGAACGCATTTCATTAGACTGTTACGCCAAATCGATCACATAAAACGGCCGCCACATAAGAAACAATAAAGACTACTGCAGTTACCGACGTAAACGACTTAGATATGGTCAAAAATGCTCATAGGTTTCACCATATCATTCGCTGTGCGCTCAGAAGCAGCAGTCTATGGAGAGTAAAGAGACCTCGCAGAGGAGGGCTCGACGTCGACGCTATATTTAGGGTTTTGCGACGCAAACAACGTCCTGGTGCTCGCCATGACATATACAGACAGCAGGAACGCACTCTTCACAATGATTACAAGCGAGGAAACTAGCCCAGAGTGAACTGACAAATTGAAAAAAAACGTAAATTAATGCGATGCGATACAGTTACACCTACATGAGGAATAACTTCAATCTCAAATGATACTGTATAATTAGATGATTTCCTAGCCACTTTTTTCAAACAAAATGAAAACATTGTCAAGCGTTTAATAATCAATAATCTCCAGAGGTGGTAAATTGCAGCATAGATTCCTAAGAAATGAAGTATTTCAAAAGATATTTGAAAATTTCTTCACCATGAATGCCTTCACAATGGAATGATCAGTCGAGTCTTGGTTTACTAATGTGCGATCAATACCCAAACAGGCAAATTTACTGCTGAAGAGCAGCCATTTAATAGTTCACAACTTCACAGTAGCATAAATAGAAACACAGCTCGCTCAAGTGATTGTTACCCTCCTTTATTGCAGCGAAGACAAACCACATCTAATGTAGACAGCGTCCTACATCCCCGTTTAATTACGGTGTCTATAAAGAGCATGGGGAACTAGCTCATAACTTGCATCAGAAATAGTAACCATTGAGAGGCACAAAAATATCCCCATAGAAGGAAACGACAAATCGAGTAATTAAAATACATTATCATCCCTCCTCTTGTCTACATGAGCACTGAACGTCCCTGATCATTCCATCACACTGACCCAGTCCTTCAGTTTCCATCGAGAACCTGGCTGAAGCTCGGTGTGAATTTACTAGAAGTATTTATATTTCTTGGACGTGCATGTGGAAGTGCTTCCTTAGCTGAAAACCGTAGGCAACATTTCTTTGTTGTCTATGAATTATATTACTGCACGTAAACATTTCTAAAATTAAGAGCCTATCTCGTAATTTAATTCTTGCAGGTTAAAGTCTATCTCTTAACGTTTCTTCCGGTTTCTTAACGATTGGCGTCATATCCTGATGATTGTTACCATGCAGGCTTGGAGGTAAGGAAAGCGAAATGCATTTTTTTAGACGAAGCTGATCGGGCCGTTTCAAACATTCAGCCAACGTCTGCGGATGGTTTTTTGCTAGTTACTATCACTAATCACATAAATCCCTAAGTTATTCAAGTCACATAAGGTTGATTGTAGCCTTGAACATCTACCAATGTCTCTCAGAATCAGGTTTTAATGCCGTCAAGAAGGCCGCGAGGGCACATACCCGTTGCTGCAAGCAACGGACGATGCCCAGCAGGCCATATGTTATTGCTTAGGGCCTTAGGCCGATACCGTTTCCGCCTCCTATGTAAAAATTTTGTATTTTTCTGACGCAATGAGGCAGAACAAAGTTATCCTTACAGGAGAGTTAACATACTGCAGCGCTAGCAGCAAGAAAAACAAACTCTAGGCCCCACCAATTGGTTGAAAATGGCTAACGTAACATTTTTCAGTGGAGCTACGGTTAAATTAAAAGGCGTACGGTATTCTTAGCTAACGAAATCTTGCGCTGTAAAATTATAAATAATAAACAAGAGTCATCGAAGTGTGAACAAAATCAGCAATTTCCGAAAAGAATGAAGTTCACAGAGATGAATTCATAAGAGGTTATGGTGAGGCAGTCTTGTGCGAGAGTCGTCTGGCTCTTCAGCTGCGCGATATTTGAGTAGTCCTTTGTTCGTGATGACGACACCAACCACCGTCTCTGTCAGTCACGAATCCCGAACTGAAGGAGCAAATTCCTCGAGTTCTTACCATAAGATATCAAACTTAACAAATGAAAATATACGAATATAAATAAAAAAAAACAAGCTGAGGGCAAATTATTAATTAATCCCACCCTGGAAAAATATAGTTATATACAAATGCTTTTATACAGCGACTAACAACTACGGAAGAAATCTATACCGCAAGTGTGTTGAGTACTATCCAAATACGATTACATAATTGATATAATGTTCATATGAACTATCCCTTCGATGAATAATATAAAATATCAATTTAATCTGCCACCTAATGGAAAGAAATAGCAAAGACAATTTCTCTACAAATTCTTTCATACTGCAAATCTTAATCCCGGTTCCAAAGCAAAAATGTTCTAACTCAGCAGAAGCCTCGCATTTCCGAGTCGAATGACAAGACCAATTCTAAGAATTTTATTCCACAACACAGATGAAGATAAGAACACGAGCTCGAGGCGCAGGAGTACACATTACCAATTCAGCCTATAAAAACCAATGGCATCGCCGGAAATTCCAAGATGAACGAGGGAGGTTGAAGTTAGCGGAATGCAAAAATATATTTTTACAGCTGAATTTTCTACAAAATATACTTAACAATTTATGAACTTCAAGTACGGTAACCAAATTTAAAATGTGCATTAGAATTTCGCTTTCAATAAACGTTGCACTGTTGACGGCAATTTAATAGTTATGCGTCCTTCTTGCGCAACATAATTACATATAAGAGAAGAAATAAACTTAAAAGAGCCAGTTGAATCCTTTTAGAATACGTCCAATAAATACAGCGGCAAGCGACATCCTTGTGACGTAAGTTATATATTCATAATTTCTGACAAGAATAAATAAATTCAAAATTTGGGCTTACTCCCCGTCAGTAACTCCTGTCTAATAATAATCAACTTTACTCCAGCGCTTTCGTTCAATTCACATTAACCGTGAGTTAATCGTTATGGCAACTATCGTAACAGCGGTTTCCATACATGTTGACGTTGTTGATGCTAAGTGCTAACCCTAACTTATCTCTTCGTAATTTCCTATTCATATTTTACAGATAGAAAAACTATCAATGCTCGACGCAGCGTGAAACAAAAAAACTAATTTTTTACTAGCTCTGCTGGGTTGCGTTGACGGTTTGAGTCTGAGAGCAGCGAGTTTATTCACTCCCTTCGTGCTGTGATACTCTTATGTAGTTGCAAACGGAAACGGTCATTTTAGTTGATTTTCTATTGATATACTTCATAAATTGGACATAAGCCTCCTGTCTCCTGAGAGTTTCACTATCTACTCCAATCCAGCCAAGAGAAAAACAAACGGTCAATGATGATTTTTCTTATTGATGTAACCTCCGTGAATAATCGAACTGTAAATCCAAACAGTGACAGTGAGCTTTCATAAATTATAGTGAATAAATAGACAAATAAAACAATAAATCTTCCCGATAATTGAAAATGCAAGGATCTACGGTAGGACGAACGAATGTAATACGAAGTAGAACCACCGAAAGATCTAAAACCCGAAAACATATTTTTTGAAACTAATTTCACGGTGACGAAAACACGAAGGAATCAGAGCGGGTTCGGTAATTAGGAAGGGGCGTGGGACCACCCTACCTGCGAAATCTTTCGACATGCTCAAGTGAACCCATCTCATGGCTTTGCGACTGGCACGACAAAGTGACCAAGCGCAACTGGAACAAACAAGACATGAGTTAACAACTCTACTTCCAAACTGGATAATTGATTGGATTTATCTAAGAACAAAAGAGATCGTCCCGCTCAAGACAAAATAAACTAATTTCGGTTCTCACGCTTGAAAAGCTGGCGGTGCAAGTCGGCAACCGAGCTGACGAAATATGAAGATACTTTTTCGGACACCAAGATATTGGTATAGAATATAATATTGAAATGAGTATTATAATCAATTAAACGTACCTCATGCACATCCAATTAGATATGAACTATATTCGTGTGAACTCAACAACATTTCACATCTGTGATACGGAACCTTTTCTTTGGAACAAACGTAAACAATGCGCACTGATTTCACAACGCACCTCTTGCACTGACGGCATGAGCCTGACTACCCGTAGCTTCACTTCACAGCCTTCACTTTATACGCCAGCGGCGAGACGCAAGCCGTGAAAATTAGGCAGTTGGGATTCCGAAGGATTGCTGTCGAGATATGCCGGCATGACCCCGCTTCATATTTTACATAATATAGTTTGTTTGTCCCATGAATTCTTTAAAAACAATAATTTGCGAATGTGAAACGTTGTGAAATAAGATTAAATTTGTAGAATCAAATACACACGATTTGACAATGAGATGAGGTTGCAAATAAAATGCAACTGCAATGGGATCGAAACGAATATGAAATGAATTAACCCTCTCAATGTTTTGATACCATCACTTGAAACATGACTGTGCAAGTGCAGTACACGCTTATTTGAGTTATTTTTAATGTCACAGTTTAAGAGTTTTTATCACATATCTCCTCAATTTCTTAATTATTAAAAAATAATGATTATTCTTTTTGAGAACACATTTTTTACCTCATGTATAAGCCCCCGGATGCATACCACTAACCTTGAGTGGACATAAA